TCTGTCCAATTTGCAAGTGTGAATGGGGCATTTTTCATCTTTTTTTTTCTTTTCCTGTGTCCCATTGAAAAGGATTTGTCTTCACTTCCTGTCCTGGAGACACACCAGGAAACGTGTGGAAATCTCAAAAATGAGGGGAACGTAATGCACATTAATGCCTGCGTAGCATTTACGCACTGCGACGGAACGCTTTAGTGTGAATGGCCCCTCAACCCAAAACCAAGGGCAGGTTAGAGAGGAAATTCTGCCTTTCAAATGTCACATTTGTTTAGTCCACTCACAGATAAATCCTTCTCTGCCTTTTAAAATATGGGGTGTCTCCTGTAGTATCTCTTATAACTGTAGCATCCTTTAAGAACAACTCTGGGTAAAAAGGGTTAAGTGCTCGTTCTTGCCCAGGGTCAAAAATCTAAAAATGATACCCACCCGATCCTCCAAGCTGGCCAGCTGTGACAGCGCTCCCTCCAGCCTGTCTCCTCCACCACTGCAGCGATGGGATGTCCCTCAGCGTCCTCATGTCCCATACGCTGTGTATAAAACATGATGACTCGGGGACCTTAGACTGCTGCAGCGAAGGGGGAGAGAGGCTCCAGAGACTGGTCTAAGAGCAAGCCAACGCAGAGGATCCGGTGTGTATACCTTTTTTTTTTTCCCCTTAGGCCTTTTCAGTGCAAGTGTAGCCCCACTGCAAGGGTTAATAACATTTTTACCCGGAGTTCTGCTTGAAGCTAGGTTCACACCTAGGCGATTCAGATGATAGGTCAGGTGAGTGTTGCTGTAAAAAAGTTATGTAACGGACAGTGCGCAGGGCAAGGCTTAAAGTTTGTGTGTTGCTCAAGAATGGGGAGTCCATAAAAAGGGAATGGACATCTTAACGGTTATTTACAGATTTCATGGGAAAAGTTACCCTTTAAGGCACACTATTGTGCACTTAAAAGAGAACTATTGCCAAACCTTTTTTTTGGCGTTAGTTCTCTTTTGGGCCACAGGGATTACCGTTAAAGGGGTCTGCTTAGAAACAATTCGCCCTACAAACCTTTCTGAACATTCGTTCTGTGCAAATAGAAGCAAAAACAAAAGTTCTTGGATATAGTTTCTTTTCAGGTCAAATTAATGTCATGTCATACTGCATTTGACCACTAGATGGAGCTGAGGAGCATAGGAAATAAATACTTCTTATGCACCTCAGCTCCATCTAGTGGCCAAAATGCAGTATGACTTGACATACATTTGACCTAAAAAAGAAGATAAATCTAAGAACATTCATTTTGCGTCTATTTGCACAGAACGAATGTTCAGAAAGATCTGTAGGGTGAATGGCTATGCGAATTGTTTATCAATAGACCCCGGTATAAGTCATTTACCTTTCAATTCCTACATTAAAAACGTCCCCTTTGCTGTGCATAGCTTGTAGAATGGTTCCCTGGTAGAAATAAATACTGGCTTCTGTTGAACTCAGAATTAGGTCACATTTGTGACTCTTAGCTGTGACATCGTATTGATATTATTTCCATCTCTCTATTGTGTTAGGCTGACCCATTACTCTGCAAGCATAAAGCAAAATCACAATGATGATGGTGATGTGTAAAGATTAGACCAGATAATATCTCGGCAGTAGCCCCGTCTGCGTCGGGTGCTTTTTAATTGCAGCTGGTAGAGCGGCCTGTGATTTATTCAAGCTGAATGGCTCAGTGGTGTGCTGGCTGTCAGCCATAGCTGTTGTATGAGAAGGGTCTCCAGCACAATAATAAAACTGATTTGTACCACAAAGGCAGCGTTGTCTTCAGAACGCCATGTACTAAGTCATTCCATCTGCCTTCTGCAGGAAAGGTACAGAAAACAAAGTACAAATGTTGCTAAAAATAATACATTTTTCTCGAGTCACTAAAAGAGTTCAATGCTAATGCAGAAGTGACACACATATCGAATGGCGATTGCCAGTTCCTTTGTGAGAGGATTGTTTTCAGTTCAATAAACAGGCAAGAGTATTACATTTAATATTGAATTACTCGGCTTTGAATATAGATTCCTGACCCAAGGTGATTTTATTTCCAGTCTTGGCTTAAAGGGTTATTAAACCCTTGCATGTTTTTGTATATATCTACTGCTAGCAAGCAGTAGATATATGCAAAATGATTTTTTTTTTAAACTTTTTAAAAGGGGTAACACTTACTTGTGTCTCCGTCGCGCGCTCCCGTCAGAACATCTGAAAATTTCTCGGGCGGCCGCAAAGGATCTTGGGGCGGCCGCATGCGCAGTTCAGATGTTCGGGCGGGAGACGAGGAGAGACACAAGGTAAGTCTATGGAGCAGCGTGCACACGGACAGACACCGTGGGACATGAGAGAAGAGGAGGACAGAGGAGTCAGCGCTGGATCCGAGACCCGCACCAGCGCTGGAGGGACATCTGAAAACTACAGGAAAGAAGATGATTAAGAGACATCATTTAAGGTAAGTCCTTACACTAACATTGGGGGGGAGGGGGGAAAATAGCCTTTAATGTCACTTTAAGTGAGGAAAATTCACACAAATACATGAAAAACATGCTAACCCCACGCAGATAATGTCCTTCGGATAATCACACCAGAGATGCAAGGCAAGAGTGCCGTCCACCTAGAACCTGAGCCAGTAACAGTGCAAAACGAAAAGATCAGATTTAGACCCTGTACACAACGGGGCGGTCCAGCCGCACGGATCCGCCGACATTAACGCTCCCATACATTGCTATGGGGACCGTTCATGCGACCACGCGGGTCTGCTCGTTCCGAACCGCCCCCGACCGAACTGCTCCCTGCACTATTTTTGCCGCGCTGAGCAGTGCGGTTTCCATATAGGTTCCAATGGAACCGCGCTGATCAGCTCAGTTTTCGTTGTTTTTAATTGCATTTCAGCACTGAACACACAATTAAAAACTCCCTTTTGAGATCAGCACGGTAACCGTGCTGATCCACAACCGCCCTGGTGTGAATGGGCTCTTAGAAATAGTTTACTACTTACTCAGGCCGAGCACACTGACACTGAAAAGCAACAATGATGTACAAAGTGCAGCATCCAAAGTAACTAAAACTTTATTATCATTCACAAATCTAACTACAGTTTAGGAAATGACTATTTCAGCCTTTCTTAAAGAGGTGTCTGGCACCCAGGGGTGGGTGACTTCTGGCAACCTCAGGGTGTCTTGACATTTTGTAATGGTAGGACTCTGATGTAAAGGAGGGGGGCTGAAGGCTATGATGTGAAGGGTGCTCCTTATATAAAGAGGAGGCTCTGATATTAAAGAGGAGCTCCTGATTTTGAAGGGGGGCTACTGATGTAATAGGGAAGAGGGATCCTGATTTGAAGGGGGGACTTAAATGTAAAGGGGAGCCCCATTTTTTATGTGTTCTTGCATGTGGCAACCGCTACAAATCCATGACAGTTTAGACCGGGGTGCCTCAAAATTTGTCATACTTTTAAAGGGTGCCGTGACTGAAAAAAGGTCAAGAAAATATGATCTATTTATAAAAGAATTCACATAGCTTATTTGTTCAAGGAAACTTCATATGCATTTGTTCTGTGTGAGTTAACTAAGTGAGAGGATTGAGAGAATGGGGTCAAATTAAATGTTCTTAGTGTAATTTCTCTTCTGGTCGAATATTCTTCAGTAGGCAAATTCGTTGAGATGAACAGGGAGCAGCTTGTCTTGCCATGGCTGTGTGTTTGTAGAGACGCATACATCTTACTAGTACACACAATGGTGGCGCCATAGGACCCTGCAAGGGAAAGGAGCCACCTTAAAGGGGTTATTAAATCCTCCGTTTTTTTTCATAGATCTACTGCTAGCAAGCAGTAGATCTATGCAAAAAGTGTAAAAAAAAAAAAAAAAACGCTTTGAAAAGGGTTAATACTTACCCGTGTCTTCCCCGCTCGCTCCTGTCCGAAAATGTGAAAATTCTCGGGCGGCCGCAAAGCATCTTGGGGCGTGCGCATATGACATTTTCGGCCGGGAGACGAGGAGAGACACAAGGTAAGTCTATGGACGCATGCACCCGCATGCAGACACTGTGGGACAGGAAGTGCCAGCAAGCTCAGAGGAGTCAGCGCTGGATCGGAGACCCGCAGCAGCACTGGATGGACAGATGAAAAGGACAAGAAAGAAGAAGAAGATCGGATTAAGAGACATCATTTAAGGTAAGTGCTTTCATTAACATGGGGGAGGGAAAAAGATTTTTGACTTTGTCACCTAAAAACAGGATATCAGGGCCAGTGCTCAGGGGACCAGCTGATTCTGCAGGAAGCTAAAACTTTTAAACATCAAGGAGCAGCATCCATTGTAAGTGATTCAATCAGCATTTGAAACATTTTGACTAACCAGGACATAGGAATCTCCACTCTTTGGGTGTATGAGGTGTGTGAATCAAATTCTCTGGCAGCTAAATCTGTTCACATTCATGTATTTCATCATTGTCTTCATCTTGTTGCCTGCAGCTCTGTTTTACTAAAAATCATATAGGACTCCTGATCATTGTTGATATTCCCATTGTCATCTTAAATAATCCTGGATACGTAAAGTCAATGAACCCTTTGTAATCCCTCTTTAAGTAAAATACTGCCTCCGTGTCAAATGTGATTTTTTTTTTTTTACTGATGATAAAGACATTACTTCATTCCTTCTTAGCGGAACATAACATGTCAAAATGATTAAGAAACTCTTTCCTGGATCAGGAAGCTCTGATGCAAGGCGTTGCAATAGTTTTAAAGCTCTGCCTTTAGTATTCCGCTCTGATCGAGGATCGTGTTTTGTATGGATTTTTTTTTTCTTCCTTTTTTGGAGTGGGAAAAAAGTATCCACTCTGCATACTGATAAAAGTTATGTGATTGAAGTAATACACGTCAGCTGTAAGATTTAGAGGCTAAGATGTTGCTGCATCACTTGTAGAGGGGAAGTGGAGGGGGGAGCAGGGGATGTGGAGCAGAGGGGGAGGGAGGGTTAGAAAAAGGCTTTTATTTTGGTCAGCTGACTTAAAGAATCAACAGACATGGCCGTGAGCGGGAGGCAGCAGCTACAAGAGAGGCAGAGGTAAGAGTGAGAAAGAGATGGGGAGGGAGAGAGAGAGACAACTGGAGAAAAAGAGAGGGGCAGAAAAAGCGTAAGAGAGGGCAGGAATCAGAGACAGGATGAGAAACAAAAGAGAGAGAAGGGGTAAGATAGAAATAAAGTGAGACGTAAGGGGAGAAAGAACAACCGAAATAAAGAGGAAAAGGGGGATAAAAAGAGACTGAGAATGAGGGAGAGACAAAAAATGCATTTGTTGGTTAAGCAGTAATCTGTGTGAAGGATCTAAAAGATTTATCAAGAGTGGATCAAGGTGACAAAAAGTTTACAATAATGTAAAACCAATCAAAAAAAATTTCTTTTTAGAGTACTGACAGCTGCTAGAACATTAGAAAACCACCTGATTTGAAGGAAACCTTTATTGAGAGAGATGTCATAGTTGGCCGCATAGATGGGGAAATCCCCGACCCCCCCCCCCCTGCTGGTCTGTTGTATTCTGACAGTGGCGGATGTGCCACTGTCAGAGTATCTGTACAGTGGCTGCATCTGGTTGTGCACAGTCACTGTTCGGGCCAAAATTGTCAGACTGGCTCCTTTGACAATATTCGACCAATGTATGTCAAGTCAACCAACCAGCATTGTCAAAAGAAGGTGAGCAACATAAAGCCACATAATCTCACAGTGCGTAAGATGGTACAACAACAGTGAAAAGTGCTTTAACTCTTAGCAACCAAATATCACCCCTTTTTAGAGTAGTCAGACCATTGAAATCTAATTGCTGACCAGTTTCTGGTGGATATTAAACATTGCACATACACTACAGGTGAAACTCGAATAATTAGAATATCGTGCAAAGTTCATTTATTTCACTAATGCAACTTAAAAGGTGAAACTAATATATGAGATAGACTCATTACATGCAAAGCAAGATAATTCAAGCCGTGATTTGTCATAATTTTGATGATTATGGCTTACAGCTCATGAAAACCCCAAGAACCCCAAATCCACAACCTCAAAAAAGTAGATTATTACATGCAATCAATAAAACAAGGATTGTACATAGAACAATATCGGACCTCTGAAAAGTACAAGCATGCATATGTACTCAGTACTTGGTTTGGGCCCCTTTTGCAGCACTTACTGCAATTACTTTTGCACGATATTCTAATTATTCGAGTTTCACCTGTATATGATAAAACATTTGTGGACACCCGACCATCACACCGATGTGAGATTGTTTGACATCCTATTTTAAAACTATGGGCATTAATATGGAATTGCCCCATCCCTTTACATCTATAACAGCCTCCATGCTCAGGAAAGGCTTTACACAATGTTCTGGAGTGTGTTTGTTGGAACCATGTGTTTATGGAGTTTGCTTTGTGCAAAGAAGCACAGTCATGCTGGAATCAAAAAAAGCCTTACGCAAACTGTTACCACAAGGTTGAAAGCACACAGTTGTCTAAAATGTATTTGTATTCTGTAACATTGACTGTACAGTTCCCTGCAAAACATCTGAACTCCCATTTGGACGATTGTTTACATATTTTTGGTCAGTTAGTAGGTGTGATATACAGGTGTCCACAAACATTTCACTATATAGTGTAGTTCTTTGCTAAATATCCTTACTAAGTAAAGAGGAAGGAGCAGACCGGAAGAATAGAAATGAGTGGGTGAAACAGGAAGAAAAGAACAAGACATTAGCTATAACAATCTACATTTGCTCTATTTTGTGTCTTAGGCTTTTCTTAGATTGGAGTAGAGTAATTGGCTCTCCTGAGGGCTCCCATCTGATATATGCTTTGTTTGTGTCTGCAGGTGACATGTCACCTGGGGAGGACTTTGAAACCCCGAACCTTTCTCCTTGACTATGGATGGCTACAACAGGCAGGAGCAAATTGGCAGCAGTGAAGATGAGGATCAGAACTTTGTAAGGTATATGGATGAGGATGGAGTCATTGGATTAAAGGAAGGCGGAATGGAACTATATAACCAAGGATTTATAGAAGAGGATGAAACTGAACAACAAAAAATACTAGGTTTGGAAATAGGAGACATGTTGGAGCAAGATGAAGAAGGAATTTTGTTCCCAGCATCCCCTACAGATGGTGACAGATCAGATAGTCAAAGCTGGAAAGAGCAATTTAGTTTTTCCCAAATGCCAGAAGAAAGAAGGAACCAAGAAATAATTAGCATTCATGATACCGGTAAGTTAATCTCTTACTTCAGGCAGGAAGTTTCCTTCCATAACATTTCTGCTATATATAACAAAATAAAATGGTGACATATCTGTCTTGTTATTTTACTTTTCAGATGATCTCACTTTTTTGGACCAACCTAGCAGGTCAATTACTTTGCCTTCTGCACTTGAACGAAGACCTCCAAGCAGGGACCAACAGCTGGATATGACTGAAGATGAGGTGGATCAAGGGAGTTCCCTGGGAGCATGGGATGGGAATGAAGAAGAAAACTGGAACACACAACAATTGGGATTGCTCTATAATGGAACTGAACATGAAAGGCTTGACGACTATGGACAAACTTTAGCAGGGGAAGATCAGTGGAACAACTTACCTGGATCCCCTCAAGAAGATTACTCTAACATTTCAAAGAATCAGGGAGGTGAAGCTATTAAAGAGTCCCACTCACCATCATCTCCTCCACTTCCTAGCACTTGGGACACTAGACTATTTGGCATGTTGAGTCTATCACCTGGTATAGAAGCTGAGACTCTTCCAGAACCCTCACATACAGATAGTGGCGAAGGATCAGCCGTCATTCCTTTTGGAGATCATGGAAAGGTTTCCAGAGTTACAAAGTTGTCCAATCAGACTACATATTTAAGAACTAAGTCTACCTTATCACCTTCCTCTTCGACCAAAAGGCAGAACGCACAGCATTCTAATGAAAAGAAAAGCAAAAATTCAACCATTGAACAATATGGCAGAGGTCAGCTCAACTACCCTTTGCCTGATTTTTCTAAAGTTGGTCCCCGGGTCCGATTTCCCCGTGATGACCAGGGTTATCGTCCTCCTCAGCCACAAAGGCTAGAAAAGCAAAGTGCCCCTACTCTCTTTAAATCACCAGCAGATATAGTAAGAGAGGTCCTGCTGAGCAGTGTTGAAAAGCCTGCCCAGGAACCAACCATTCCACCCTCAGTACCACAAGAGTTCAAAACCCCACAGCAAGCCACCCAACTTGTTCATCAGCTACAGGTAAATATATGGTAACTTTACACTTTTTCTTTTCATTTTTAAGTCCACCCAAATTGGATCTATTAATTGCCAGTGAATGTTAGTAGGGGAATCACTTAGTGTCCTTCTTATATCCTTCCAGGCCCCCATTAGTAATATACCAGACCAATGTTCCTGCGTCTAGCCCCCCTCACAAAGAAAACTTGCTTATTTTGTCCGTAAAAAGTGTTGCACTCATCTTTCTGCATAATGTAAAATAGGTTAAAAATCCAGCAGGAAAAGTGAGGCTGCTTCATGTTGGCCATGGTAGGTGGATGGACCCAAGAAATAATTTTTAGGGACCTTGTCAATGGGGTCCCTGAAAATATAGAAAATCAGTGGATGATCCACTTTGTTAGAAGCTACCAAGAACAGAAATATTATATATGGGTAGACTTTACATTCAAGCCTCAGGCAGCTTCACTTAATTAGTGTTTCTGGACTTTTTTTTCCTTTCATGTCCATCCCCACAGTTTATTGCAGTTAAATGAAAAGTCCAAGAAAACTTATTTTTACGTTCTGGATACTGTGGTAAAGGATCAGAACCTTTGTTTGTTTTTTATGATGCATTTCTTTCCAGCCTAAGGAGTCTAGTGTTAGTGGTCTTAAAGTGAACCTTCACCCCCTTTCAGCTCTGCATGCTGATTTAAAATCATATTACATTCATTAAACATATTTTTCATTTACTTACCAATAAAGTTTATCCACATCCCGGTCCACCTTGACACAAATGATGTAATGTGCCCAAGTGTTGCATCCCGGGAAGGTTACATAAGCAATGCATTGCTGGGAAATATCATCTGTAATCTCATGAAAGGGAAAGACATTTTCCTCTCCTGAGATGATGTGCATGGTCACATGTCCTAGTCACATGTGCCAGAGTCCTAGGTGAGATCTAATAATCTGCCCTTAGTTAAAATGGCCACTGGGAAAGAAAAGAAAAATAAGGTACGTAAAGAATACAAAGCCGGCAATTATCTTGAAGTACCTGTTTGTAGATTGCCATTATTAAATATTTATAAAGGTGCCTTTGTTGATATTAAAAGATATGGGTAAAGTTCCTCTTTAAGTTGAACTCTAATACACAATCTACCTTTGAACCCAAGCCCTAATGCTAACCCCTATTCTGCTACATACTCATCTCCTCCTGTGCCAGGAGCCTCTGTGTTTTATCACAGCAAGCAGTTGTGTGCTCTGATCATGCAGTGCTGAGATCCTGGCACTAGGTGAATGAGATCCTAAGCTTTAATTGTATTCTTGCTCCCACTGGAGAGATTTCCTCTCACCGCTTGTTGTGGTGACCACCGTCTCTGGGACAGTGATAAGTATCACTTATCTACTGATAAGTTTTTCCAGCATTAACACAGAATTAATTCCTGACATTCTATCCAAAACAAAGTAACAAATGTTTTGGCTGGAGTTCCACTTCAATAACTTTCCTCCATATATTTCAAAAGAAGAAAAGATCCGGATTCCGGTGTCAGACCAGATCCCATGAGAGCAGGCTCTAAAGGAATGGCCCAGATAAGTTAAAGAACTCTTACAGTACACCATAATAAGAGAAGTACATAGGCTGCCCAGTGCTAAAATTGCTTGTTGTCCGTATGTTTGGCTTCAAAACGTTTAGAGCCACATACCCAGATTATGCATGCAGTGTCATAATGAGTGTCAGAAAAGTTAATCTCTATACTTGTTCCTGGTCAGTGATTCAGACAGCATTGATGTCAATGCATTAGCATGACAGCCAAGCAACTAACAGTCTCATAAGCAGAAGTCAGTATTAGCAGTCCACATAATCTTCTTATGCTGGATGCACTTGAAAGGAGAATTCAACTCTGAAGAAAATATTTTAGTACATATTGACTATCTTTTTCTAGAAAACAGACGGCTGCTACATGCTAAACTAGACAGCCAGAATTGATTCATGAAATCTTGTGTTTACACATCCTTTTCGCTAATAAATGCTGGTGATCAGTTGAAAAAAAAAATCAACTGCGCAGATAGCGTAAATGCTTATTTCAAGCACAGACAAATAAACTAGACTGCTCACTGCAATTAGCCACAGAGCTTACATATAGTCAATACCTTTAAACAGCATTCCAAGTTGCAGAAGCAGTCAAGGAGCACCAAAAGGTCAATGGCAGCTAAGAACCTGCTAATTAGACCAGGGATGGGGACAGGGGTGTATCTACTGCAAGACAAACTAGGCATTTGCCTAGGGCGGCACTTTCCAGGGGGGCAGCAGAAAACGCCACCCAAACCAATGAGGTGGACTAGGCCGGACTTGCCCTTGAGCATACTGGGCACTTGCCCAGTGGGCTGAGGCTGGGCGGCACAGAATCAGGCAGCGGCGACTGCCTAATGAGGCAAACTAGGCCGCCCTAAGAGCGGCTGCCTAATTATAGAGCTGTCTGGTGGAGGGTCCAGTGAGATGCGGTCCAGCTTGCGTTGTACAGGAGGTGGAGGAGAAGCAGCGGGTGGCTCTGGGCTGGCCATAGCATGTGATCTGATGGCGGGATATCCCAGAAGCAGGCTGGGGACTGCAATGTATACTGTTGGTACTGATGGCACTTCGAGCTGCAGGTAAGAGGAGCAGCACATGTATGCAGGGAAAGGGACTATGCAGAGCCCACCTGAGACCGTGTACAGCTCTCCTGAGACCCCGTGTGGGCTGTATCCAGTGACTGACAGGTTGCCCAAAATGTCCTAAACAGGATGGGGTGGGGCAAATTTAGATTGAGGGGGGTGTCCGAGTTTAGTCTTGCCTAGAGCAGCACAAAACCAAAATACACCACTGGATGGGGAGTGAAGTATATCTACATTAAAAGGGCAGGCACCTTTACATTTTATTGAAAGACCAACAAATCTCAACTACCGTATGTTTTTTTTAAAGAGCAGATAAAAAACACACAGATATACACTATGGGGCCTATTTATAACAAAAAATTATTGTACGACTGTGTCCGCATTGAAACCAAAGAATGGACATGCACCATTTGTCTGACATAGCAGACTAGAAGGCACTGTAGTGCATTACCATATATTGAGATGCGCTTTAATGCATTGGAGATACAGAGCAGACTACTTCCTGCTAAGAAGGAGAAGCCTCAGCCAAATCTACACAAGTAATGGTCAGTTTAAAGTTACCTCCACACTGTGGCACATTTTAGAACAAGGCCTAGCAAGTCAGTAAATGGGGAAAAAGATCAGCAGCATGGAAAGCACAGGCAATACTGGTGACTAGACCTTTGCCTTCTGCTTGCTTTTTCGGGCACAGCTTTTACAGTCCTCTTTAGGCCTTGTTCCCACCAAATGCAGAGCAGATCTGCATGAGTTTCTGCACACGCAGTGCAGTGGGTTGTGCCGCATTTTTGATGCGTTCTGGGCCGTATTTGGTTATAAAAATGGGCTTTCAGTGCGTTCCAGGGCGTTTGCATGCATTTTTTATGTGTTTGCATGCGTGGAACGGAACGCTGCGATGTAAACTGGAGCTAAAAATACTATTGGAATACATTGGACTCAGTTTTGCTCCGGTCTGTAACTGTTCTGCTCCTAGAACGCGCTTGGTGTGAACAAGGCCTAAGTCACTTAGCAGTCTTACTTTGTAAGGAAGGGCCTGTGTCAGCGGACTTCTGTTCACTTCAGTCAGGTCATACATTCCCATATGAGTCTATGGGAATGCAAAACCTGCTCGAAGCAGGTCAAGTGGCGATCAGAAGGAAATCAACTGCAGGTCAAATGCACCTGTCAATGAATTCTAAATGATCTCAGAAGCATCTCAAAACTGATGGACCATTGACACAAGCCCAAAGCCCATCAACACAGGCCATAAAATATCTCTTAGTTCTTGCTTTTAAACATGTCAAGCTAGATTTACAACCTAAATGCATAGATAGAGTTTACAAACTGAAGCAGATCACTGGGAGACTTTATTTAAATAAGCACCTGGCAGCAGCAAAAAATCTTAACGCGCTTCGCACTATGATGATTGGCTGTAAAGCTCAGCTAAGCAACATAGCGCAAAACACACCAAGGCATTTTTGCTGCCTGTTAAAATGAAGTCTCCCAGTTCTCTACTCCAATCCATGGACTACCTATGCATTTCTATTGATGTACAGCTGGGCAAAGCTGGTGAGTTGGAAGTAAGGCTGATGTGTGCATACAAGTATGATCCCCTGGTGCCAGCAGTGTTTTATCAGGTTTGCAACTTCATAGATATAAGCTTTAGTTTACAATAAAAACTGGTATAGAAATTGTGTTTGACATTCGGACATTCTGAACAATATTAATAACAGCACTATCATTTTGTTATATTTCCTGCATGGCTCTGTACCGCCATTCGTGTTGTTCTCCTTTTCTTTAATTAGTTGTTGCTATCTGTACATCATATAATCACCTTCCTTAACCTGTCCTCTCTTCCTTCTGCTTGTCTCTAGGAGGATTATCACAAGCTGCTCACTAAGTATGCAGAGGCTGAAAATACGATTGACCGTCTGCGCCTTGGAGCTAAAGTAAGATAGTGTGATGTTAATATTGAATTGCCTAGATCTGCCAGACTGAGTTCATGTTAAGAGCTTCTCTAAACTCTAAGTGGACGTTTGTCACCACATACACTAAGGCATTTTGTAGAATGTAGAATAAAAGTCACAAGAGTCCCTATTAGTGAGATTCCCCCTTCTGCTTGTCTGACCACTGCCATGAGAACTAAATGTGAAATAATTTTTGTCACCAGAACAAGAATAGTTTCCAATGGGGAATGGGTTCCAGAAACAACTGTCTAGGAGAGGATCTTTCTCTCTTCCTCACTTTCACTTGCAATACATTTTTAAACATTTTCAAATAAAAGAAACAGAGCACAACACATCAAAGCGTTAACAACGTAGGCGTAGAGTGACCCATTAGTGCAGAAATCCATGTGAAATAAGCTTATATAATAACAAATGGGGAAAGGAGAAGCGCCTCAAATAACAATAAAGTGGACAAAAAGCTCCTGGGTTCCAGCGTCAATCTATAATAAGCAAAGTTCCCCGAAAATACGGAATCCCAAAATAGGAGCTGTCTATAATAATCAAACAGGTAATGCTAATGTAACAAATTTTAATGAGAATTAATAATAAAGTAGAAAAACATATAAAACACACCTACACCTGTTTGTCATTTTAATTGATTTTAGATGTTCTTTGTCAGTAGGTGTGTTTATATGTTTTTCTACTTTATTATTAATTCTCATTAAAATTTGTTACATTAGCATTACCTGTTTGAAATAAGCTTATACCAATAGATTGTGTAGTCTGATGGCCCAGGAGTTGTCACACGCTTAATACAAACAGATAAGCCCAAGGAGGGTATATATTACCAAGGAAGAAGGGTGAGATCTGGAAAAGAAAAAGCAGGAATGAAAGTTAAAGCAAAATTAAGAGTAAAAGTAAGTGTAAAGATAATCCAGGAGCCCCCAAATCCCCAGGACACATGTAAGGAGCTCAAAAATGGGAGTCGCCAAAGATTGCGGAAACTAGAAGGGTCCACAGTGGGAAGAGTGTATGAGAGCCAAGGGTCCCAAAGCTTACGAAACCGAGCATGAGTTTCATGAAGGATACTCGTCATCGTTTCATTAATAAACATTGTGTTCATTCGAAGCTTCACTGCAGGAAATGGAACCCTGGATGTCCTCCACGCTCTCACAATGGTCTGTTTCGAAGTCAAAAAAATATAGGTTAGCAAGGTCTGTTAAGAGGATGACAGCAAAGAAACTGTGATGCAATAGAGCCACACGGGATCTTTCTGGATAATAACATGAAAAAGAGAATGTATAAGACCAAACACCCTGGACCAAAAGGAAGTCAATTTAGGGCACGTCCACCAGATATGCAGTACATCTCCCAAATGACCACAGCTTCGGAAACATCGATCACTAAAGGACAGGACCGCCTTAGCTATTCTGGAAGGAACCCAATACCATCTAATGAAGACCTTGTAAGCAGACTCCAGAATAGAGGTGTTAAAGGAACATTTCATCACACGAAACCAGATTGCACCCCAGTCCTCCTCCCCCAGAGTAAGTGACAAGGTAGAGAGATCCTTATTCCAATTCTAAACATATGAAAGTACAGGGGCTTCAGGAATGGTATTAAGATGGGAATATAACAAATAAATGAGGCCAGGTGCACCTAGAGAATGTAGACAAACATGTTTAAACGGTGACTTACAGTTATTCACTAAAGGGTGAAAAGTTTGGAGAAGGCAGGAGAAGTGAAAAGGACAACGTAGCTGATTTGGAAAAATTCTCCAATTCATCTCACTTTCCGAATCAGCCATGTTGTCCTAGATTGTTCACTTCTCCTGACTTCTCCAAACTCTTCACCCTTTTGTGAATAACCCTGTCAGTGTATGGAAAGTCATGTCCCCTAGTAAGGGAGATGATCCAGTGACGAGGCTGTAGGTAGTGAAAATGTTCCCTTAGAGGGACCGACTTATTTTCTCTGAGCGAGGTCTCTTCCTCACTTTCAACATATTTCTTCTCTCTTCAACAGGAAGTGAGGGAAAATCCTCCCATTGTGATGCAGATGACAAAAACAACCCTGAAAAGGGGTTTTTGACCATCAGCTGCTCGATCCACATATATTTTCATATATTGCATCTTACCAGTCCTTAGATGTGGTGGTTGCATTTGTTTTTATTTCAGGTTCTTTTTACTTTTCTTTAACCTGGTGATCCTGCCAGTAACATACTTTCTATCCTGTGGTGACAATGTTCACTGTATCTTTGAAGATGAATGCTGTCAATCTATGACAGCAAGTGTGTTAAAACTACAGAATACCTCCCCCTTTTTCTCTATGTTCTAGAAGGATGAGGTCTGGTTATTATTGTCAACAAATTCCTGCAGGATGCAATATTTAGAAGGAATCCATGTAGAATAGTGGATCCGACAGATATATTTAAGAAATGTAAAAATAAAATCTACAGAAACCATCTCATTCAGTCTCATATTTTATATTAAAAAGTCCCTATTTATAATAAAGGCTCCTGGTAATAATTGTAGGAGCTGTATTAGGAATGGTTGCTAAGGACCAGTTTGGTAAATTATATCACTGGATTCATATTATACATTAGGTTATTGGACTAGTGTGACTGAAGAGAACCTAGTGCTGGGGTTATAAATGGAGCAACCAAAATGGTGTAATTACTAATGCCATAGGTCTTGTTTGATGAATCACAATACATCAAAGGTTTAATGAATGATACCTTTGAACTCATTTATTGAATGGTGTATTGGATTAGGGCAGCCTTTCTTTTCACCAAGTTTTTTTTGCCAAGGAGGAAATCATTTTCTAGTCTGAAGGAACCTCTGCTAAATATTATTTTATCTACAGCTCGAGGTACATTAGCATGATCAGTAAGTTGTAGAATAAAAGAAAATAGGAATACATAAAGAAGAAAGAATGTGATGTTCATTTAGTACATTTCACATGTGATGCCCCCCTGCTATATACAACAAGATATTCAGTAGTAATTACAATCATAAAATAAAATGAATAATAATAATGGTCAAGAGTAGGATCATTGGTACATTGGTGCTTAGTGTATTGTTCCCTTTATTGATAATCACTAGTCCACACCACTGGCTTTGTCGAGTGACTATCAAGCATTGACACTATCATGCAGAATATCAATCTGCCACTACTTAAGAAATACATAGGGACCTCTGGAAGAACTCTAGTTAACAAGGACTGGACTAGAATAGAAGAAATACAATGGGACATACTGGACTGTTTGATTAAATGATGTCACAGGACTGGTTTGATTGGAGAAACAAGACAGGCGTCATAAATGATGCCACAGAATAGGTGGTTAATTGTGTCATAATACAAGTATGATGAATGATGTCCCATGGCATGTAGCAAATAGCATAGGTCTTGTTTAAGAAAGACTATTAGTAGTGTACTCACTGGAGCTATTTTGGTTATTAGGTTTGACTCGTAGATGTAGAGGTTTTTATTGGTTCATTTTGCAATTTTTGCATGATCTGCCGTACTTTCCTACCAACATTGGCATAAAGAACAAAGTTTGTAAACCTGTATTTTAATGGAGAAGGTATTCTCTTTCACCAGGTACAGCTCTACTCTGACCCTGCAAAACCAAGCCACAGTGTTCAAATGGGAACAGTCATGCAAGGGTCAAAAGTCATGGAGTTCACCATACATCATGCACAGGTGGCAAACTTCAGTGCAGTAAATGAAGACAATGATATAACCAAAAGGGACACAGGTAAAGTAATCATTTATTTTTGGAGCATATAAATATGTTTGCATGGAAAAAAGTATACATTTTTTTCAAGGTGTTCTTATATGGCTGGTAATAGTCAGCTTTAACAGGATTGTTCTGGAATTTGCAGCTTTTCCAAGCAGATTATTTAGTTCTAATGAGTGAAGAAGAAGCGCCTTGAGTAAGCTGGGAAAGGTCTGCAACATTACAGAGCAAGTTCAGTCCACTGTGATTAAATACTACCAACTATTCCCCTGATGCCCAACCTCGGGCTCTTTGGCACTTATTGTGCGGCCTGAGGGGCCCCTTCAAGCAGAAGTCTGTATTTTGGTGCTTGCTCAGGCAAATGAAAGACAAATATTCTTTAGACTGTCTTTTAGTAGTTAAATAGCTTGGTTTACTGTATATATTTTACACTATTATTCCTTTTCTATTCCATACATCCCCTTTCTCTTATGTTTTTGTTTTTCCTCTGCCCCTCTTTTATAACAGATCTTGCTGATAAATGTGGGACAATATTTTTTTAAGTGGGCTGTAAGAAGCACAAATGTGTTCTTGTATGGTTTGCTAAGGTCCTACATGAAAGACTTCTAGTCAGGTATTACACAATTGTGCACAAAAAGGAAGAATCAGAGTTTCTAAATTAACTACAAAATTTGAGCTTTATATTTAAATTAGAGCATGGCTGGAAAAATCGCAGGGGCTAGGTAGCCAATGTCACCTAAAAATTACAGGTGGTGCCTAACTTTTGAGATTTCCTCTAGTTGTCATTGGGGCTGGCTCTTAAAATAGAAAACAATTCTGCTGGTTCCTGGATTGGACAGAGTGGCTCCTAAATTCTATATTAATTTGCATCCACCCCAGATTAGAGCTTCTATTAGGTTTTTATTGTCGTCTGTATCTCCACTGGGGAGATTTACTCTGTCACGATGATCACTGTCACAGGACTAAAAGTGGGGGGAAAATCCAAAAGAGTTTTCATTACTATTGGAATTGGGGAGGAAACCTTCCCATGGAGACAGTTGTTCCAGTGATCATTATCTAAGAGGAGATTTCCCTCTCTGTGGTCAGATTCCCCTTTCTATTATATCTATTTCTCCACTTGGTTTTAGGTTCCTCTGCTCCACGGAATCATTCAGCAACTCCCTCAGATGCCACTTTACCAGGTACCTCAGGTTCTTCCATTCTTCAGGGACCTGAAGACAGTGCTTCCATTCTAAGATCACACCTGGAGACCCTTTATAGAGAGGTTAGTGTTGAACTTGCGTTTTTTTTCACTGGAAGCCAAAGAGATCTGTATTACTTTATCATTCCTAAGACCTTTACTGTTTGAAACCACCAGTGCATTTATTCAGTCAGGACTCCCGGGAACACAGTGCAAACTCATTCTCCAGAGGAATATTAGGTTTCTATGGAGAATGAAAACTGTCAGTATTGATGTAGAATATTTTCCATGCAGAACACACCTTATGATTAGTATTTGATATCCAAGGTAAATGCAGCTCCAAACATAAATGGGGCACAACACAGAAAGCGCTGTGTGTTCTAGGAAACGCATGTGTTTGCAGGCCTTTTTTTGAGCCAATAACAAACATCTTACAGTAAGTATGTGGCTCAGGGGCTTCATATTGCTCTCTGCTGTGTCCCATCTTTTGGACACTTGTTTGTTATACTTTATTGTGGCTAATGAGCTGGGGTTGAGACCTTTGGTATATGCCAAGTCTAACGTAGTTTTGATAGCATTGCTTTCCATAGTAAAATATAAAAGTACACATGTCAATTGGGTAAAGTTATCCAAGTAACAGGAAAAACAAAATGGCATCCACCTGTTTGCTGCATTGCAATGGCAACTTACAGCTTGAAGTCCATACTTTGCCATTATCCCAATCCATACCTCACTGACAAGCAGAAAGGTATGCATTGTGGAGAATGGAGCGGGGGGTGACACGAGGCTGTCTCATTATCTAGATAGGCTCCAGGCTCCCAGGGGTCAGAGAATTCAAAAAGAATGTGTACAGCTCTGGTGGCTTACAATAAGGTTCTCTTGTCACTCAGATAACTATCCATGTGACAGGTGTATATTCAGTTCAAATGGTTATTGTTTTATATCAGACTTGGATTGGCAAGCTGGCATCTCAAGAGGACCAGTGTATGCGAGGATGTCTTTCGGCAGCAATAAGTGCCTGTAAGCTTCCTGGCATCACTCAATACTGCATCAGAGCTCTTTTAACCCATTGCTGCAGTACATAGAAAGTAAATAGAAAAAGACACCCATACGTATACTGTGTTCAGCTTTACTGCATCACAGTGATAAAATTGGAAGGTTCAGGTGGGCTTTAAAATACAGCCAGCACAAAACCCATTCAGTTCACAACAGCCCATAATGGTTGACCAAATAGTACTGAATGAGCAGCAGTGCAATTATTTATAGCAGGGCTCAAAATTTCCACTCGCCTGCTCGCATTTGGCGAGTGGAAATGCAGTGCAGGCGAGTGGAAATTCAGTCAGGCTTGCGGTCACAGATCGCGTACCTGTCTCGTGGGAGCAGCTGCTTCTGCTGGGCTGTCTCCCTTCCATTCGGCCGGAGCTCTTCACTGAGCTCCAGGCCGAAAACGAAGTGATTAGTAAGGTCTGCAGACCTTACTAATCACACTAGAAAACAGTGTCATTGATAAGATTATTTAAGAGGGCGTGTTTAGGGGCGGAGTTAAGGCTGCGGCAGGGTAGGGGTTAGGTGGGTAACTGGTAGCGAGTAATTCTTAAGAACTGGCTAGTAGCTCAGGACTTTAAATTTTGACCCCTGATTTATAGTATTGCTCTTTTGGGTTAGATGTACATAAACATGAGCTGGTTAGCGTTAAATGGCAATGCTGCATTTAGGTCTGACATTATTAGGCATCCATGAGAATTACTTATATCGAATTGTCCTCTTTATAGCACTTATACAAAATGCACTCCTAGAGAGTTCCCAAGTCTTGTAAAAAGCCAGCTATTGCCAGCTTTATTTGCTGGTTACCAGTGTCAGTCCACCCAAAACTGATTTTTTATTTTGTGGGAGATAGACACTGGTATATACTAAATCATCTACTGGATTGTATGCAGTGATATCCCGTAGACAGTAATAGAATGCTCTCCATTCAGGACTACCCACTGCTCACCAAGTCCTGGCATGCTGTCTCACTTATGCTAAAGCAGGAGGATTCTCACTATTCCTGGTGCAGTCTCTAATCTTTATTAAAGGAGAACTATGGGGTTAAGGCTTTTCCCCATAGTTCTCCTAAGGGTAACGGGAGGACACAAACTAGCGTCCTCCCGTCACCCTAGGCTCAGTATACCGCAAGCTGTAGCTCGCGGTATACTGAGACGCCGCAGCTGAAGCGGATCCCGACAATTGTGCCGGGATCTGCGTGAGTGACAGCTGGCTCTGCCTATCTAGAGGCAGAGCCAGCTGTACCCGCCCCCTCCCCCGTCCGTTCCGCTAGTCAGCGCTGGAAGATCTGAGCGGGGAGAGTGGAATCCAGCCCCTCCCCTGTCACGGCAGAGAGCCGTGATAGGATCGAGAGGTGAGCGAGCGCCGGTATGCGTTCGCTCACCTCCCGATCTACTGAGCCGACCTGTGACAGTCTCATTGTCACAGGTCGGCTAGAACTATGAGGTGAGTGAAAAGCACTCACCTCATAGTTCTCCTTTAAAGCAGAACTATGAGTAAAATAGAGAAACAGACAGCAAAAAATAAGCTGGCAGAGGTCCAAATGAACTGCAATGCCATGCAGTGCCCACACATGCCTTTACACACTATTTTCTGCAGCCCCAGAGCCCTGAATCCAGATAAAAATACTTTGTCAGCCTTTCTGTAAAAATGATTTTTGAAATAATATGCTGCAGGCATCAGATCCAAATGTGCCGTGCACTAGTAAAATACATTTTTATCCTTTGCAGGTCGACCTTTTCGTGGGGCTGTTGCAAGGGGGAAATTTGACTCCTGAAGAACAACAACAGGTAAAGTCCAGTGATAAAAGGGTCTGATACATCTCTAAATTGAATTCCATTTCTTATGTGTGTGACCCTGTATCTTGTACTGTCTCCATCCAGGCTGTGCAAGAGCTCCGTGGCTCTCTAGATGTGCTAGAACGCAGGTACTTACAGGCTCAGGAGCAGTATCGTCAAGAACAACGACGCACTGGGTACCCATCTCTGGAGCTGGATCCACAAAGGTAAGTACAGCATATGAACATTGCAGTCAGTGGGAAAAGAGCAATGCTTTTCAAAACCTGGGCTAATTGTTTTATATTATCAATCTGTTCATCAGTAACACATAGGGGTGTATTTATAAGATATTAGCAGAGTTATTCGTCCTGTGAAACTGCATTTACATCTGTTCTCTGAGAAAGGAGACAAAAACGTTAAAGGAGAACTATGAGATGAGTGATTTCCACTCACCTCATAGTTCTAGCCGACCTGTGACAATGAGACTGTCACAGGTCGGCTCAGTAGATCTGCCGTGACAGTGGGAGGGCCTGGATTCCCCTCTCCCCGCTCCGATCTGCCAGCGCTGACTGGCGGAACGGACGGGGGAGGGGGCGGGTACAGCTGGCTCTGCCTCTAGATAGGCAGAGCCAGCTGTCACTCACGCAGCTGGGCGGATACCGTCATCTACGTCAGGATCCGCTCCGGCTGCGGCGTCTCAGTATACCGCGAGCTGTAGCTCGCGGTATACTGAGCTTAGGGTAACGGGAGGATGCTAGTTTGTGTCCCCCCGTTACCCTAAGGAGAACTATGGGGAAAAACACTGACCCCATAGTTCTCCTTTAATGTCATGTTATTAGTATTTTCTTTCTAGGTCAAATGTAATATCGGAAAAATATTTTGTTAGATGGAGCTAAGGAGCATAGGAAATATATACTTCTTTCCTCAGCTCCTTCTAGTGGTCATAATGTGGTATCGTCCTGATCTTACATTTGATCTGGAAAGTAAATAAACTACGATTTGTTTTTGCCTCCATTCTCACAAAAGGGATATTCATGCAGTTTCACAGGATGAATGGCTCTGCAAATTTGTTAGAAATACACCCCCTAGGTTGTAGGAAATGTATTTGGCATAGATTGTAATAATGAACATTGTTTTCCTATACACAGCAGGCCTTCCCTGGTGATGGACACCACAGTGCACTGTATGGCACTTGTAAATGTTTTATATATACATAGTCGATCCAGTCCAACTTATGTGCGTGTGTATTTTTCTGGCATCTATATGTTGCCATTAAAGGAGAACTATGAGGTGAGTGATTTTCACTCAACTTCATATTTCGAGCCGACGTGTGACAATGAAACTGTCACACGTCGGCTCCATAGATCGGGAAGTGAGCGAATGCATACCGTCGCTCGCTCACTTCTCGATCATGTCCCTGCAGAGAGCCGTGACTGTCACTCATGGCTCCCTGCAGGGATTCCCCCCTCCCCTCTCCGATCCTCCAGCGCTGACTGGCGGAATGGATGGAGGAGGGGCGGGTACAGCTGGCTCTGCCTCTAGATAGGCAGAGCCAGGTGTAACTCACGCAGCTTTGTGGATCCAGACAGTATTGTCGGGATCCGTCCCGGCTGCGGCGGTCTCAGTATACCGCGAGCTGTAGCTCGCGGTATACTGAGCTTTGGGTGACGGGAGGATGCTAGTTTATGTCCTCCCGTGACCCTTAGGAGAACTATGGGGAAAAACACACCCCATAGTTCTACTTTAAACATTTTCTACTAGTATAGTTTTAACATTTGTTTTTGTTATGGATTTACATTGTCAGCTGGCGTTTTAGTTCTAAAGAGGAAGTCCAGTTTTTGCAATCAACATGTTTACCTCTTTATTTGCAGCTATTATAAGCAGGGCTCGAAAATGTGACGAGCAGACAGTGGAGCCCGACGAGCAGCAATTTATGGTACTTTTTTAATTATATAGTAAAAAAAAATACCCCCCATGGTGATTATATACCTCCAAAAGAAAGCTCTATCTGTCCCCAAACTTTTTTAACATAAATTGCAAGGCTATAGTCCGGTCATGCTGACTGGTGAAATTTTTGACTGACTGGTGAGACACTATCAAATTTTTCAAGCCCTGATTATAAGGCTTGTGTGGGATATGAAATATAGTTTTACCTGTTAATAATATGATATTTTTGGATAAGAAAAAAATTAATTGAAGATGATTTTAAATGCACAGTAATGCTTGCATATCTCAACAAGATGTCTGTTAATGAAGAGCTGGTACTTAGGAAGATTAGTAGATCCATGTATCATCCTTGGTTTTAAATGTGTCCATGTGTGATAGGTATCTGTTACACTTTTATTTTCGTATTGATATGTCGTATCTCTTCTTCACAGAGAACTTGAAGATGCCATATTCCAATTGGGAGTCCAACTGGATGAGTTACAAGAAAGAGTAGACCATTCCGCCCAGTCCAACCCTAGCACAGACCTCACACGTAGTACTCGCCATTTGGATAATGTCCCATTGCCATCAGCTGTAGTGCCTGTTCCAACTACTCAGACACCGTACCCACAGGTCAGTAACACATGACCTCACAACTGAAAGTTTCAAAAGGAAAAACTTCTCTTGCAACCAAATTAAATGTCTTTTCTCTTTCTAATCTCCTCTAGAAGGATGAATTTAGTTGCTTTGGACAGTGGTGGATATAGACTGCAGAGAAAACATGTCTGGTACCTACAAGGACAGCTGCCCATTTTGTGTTTTGTTACCATCTACATCTCAGCATGATATACACTACTCTCTGTGCTCTCCCCAGCAAAACCAGTACCACTGGCCTCTTTCATGTTCCATTGCCAGCACTAGTAGACCCTGTCCCATGCGATAACATTTAATAATTCTTATTGGGATCTACTATATTTGCCGGCGTATAAGACGACTTTTTATACTTAAAAACATCCCCCGAAAATCGGTGGTCGTCTTATACGCGGGGTATACAATGTGAACGTTTCGTTAGTTTGGGCCAAGCTGGCCCAAAATGAACGTCCCTAATCTGTCAGCCTGCTGGATGTGCGGTAATACTGTATGTACGGTAGCTTCGGCTACATACAGTATACAGCGGTAGATTCGGCTACATACAGTATACCGCGATGAGCCAATCGCGGCGAGCGATGTACACAACCTCTGCCAATCCAAGCAGGCTTTGTATTCATTAATAGAATACATCACTCGTCGTGATTGGCCCAGCACGGTATACTGTATGTAGCCGAAGCTACTGTACATACAGTATTAACGCACATCCAGCGGGCTGACAGATTAGTGGGTGTATTTAAACTAAATGGCAGGTAGACAAGACCCCATCATGGCTCCAGCAAGAAGGAAATATGCAGCCTCGGAAGGGGGGTAGTCTTATACGACGAGTATAGCCCAAAACCTATGTTTTAATTGGAAAATTAGGGGATCGTCTTATACACCCAGTCGCCTTATACGCCGGCAAATACGGTAGTACTTTAACGGGACACCCCATATGATCAGCATGGAACCGCCCACTCCCTCATTTGGTATTTTCTTTAACCCCCTTTTTTGGCCTATCGTCTTTACTAGCATGTTCAGCTTGCACATGCACATGTGTACCTTCGGACAACCTTGCTATTAACAAAAAGCACAAAAGCACGGCGACTTTTAGAAACTTTTTTTTTATAAGTTATGCAGTTATATGCACCAACTTGTGCCCACCCCAAGAATAGGGCTAATTTCGTAGAGAAAAGGTGGAGGTGTTTCCTATTACTAACACATTGTATGTATCTACGGCCACAACCTTTTTTTTAGCTTTGGATTAAAACCTCTGCCAGTTTATTTTCTGCTGTCTGTTTACCACTTGGGAAATGTCCCTCTACTTCCTCTCAGACAATTGTCCGCGGAGCTGATCTCCCCATTGGAAGATATCCTCTTGCCTTTTGGGCAAATCTAAAATTTCGGCACTTGCTTCACTTTCTTTTTCAGTTTTAATGGTCACCAGTACAAATAGAGGGATGACTCAACCCAATTGTAAGGCAGCAATATAAACTTCAGAGGCTCTAACTAGGGAGGCACCAATACAGTTTTTTCGGTATCGCGTACGAGTACCGATCTCTTGCTGTCGGTACTCGCAGATGCTGAGTACCGATACCTGTGCTTCCGCTGGCATGGAGCCGGCTTCCTGGGAAAAAAAGAAGCCGGGCAGCGGGTAATGACACGCTGTCTGGCTTCCTTATTGCCCGGGAAGCCAGCTCCATGTTTGGCCAGCTCAATGCTGAGTGGCTGGGAAACTGGCTTCCCAGCCAATCAGCATGGAGCTGGCTCCTCGGGCAATCAGGAAGGTGGAAGGCGGGTCATTACTCGCTGCCCATGTTCCCCTACGGCACTGCTGGTCAGAGGAAATCGGGGAAGGTATCTGAGCATTTGGCGAGTAGGAGTACTCACCCAAATACTCAGTTTTGGTACTGATACCGATACTAGTATCGGTGCCTAGCTCTAACCCTTCCCCACTTTATCCAAAACTAAAAATAAAAGGTTTTACTGAAGATCCCCTTTAAACTTTAGCTGAATTAGGTCAATAGAGTGCCCACTCAGCAGTGGGCTATATTTATTGTTCATAGAGGGGCATAGTAGTAAGTTTTAGGGGCAATTCCAGTGTCCCCTGTTCGCATGGAACTTGATTTCATGAAGCAAGATAAAGTATTAAAAACAATATTATACTATAGTAAGAAAGTCTGTTTGTATAGATAACAGATACAAGATTTGGACCATTAGCACATCTGTCTGTTATTGTGATAATGATGGACAAAAATCACTAGAACTTAGCTGAGATAGCTGTCATTTGTGAAGTCCCATTTTAAAGTTAAGTGGTACGTGCACTTAGCTTTAATTTCCCCCCGCTCCTTAACCCACAACTGTTCATATGTACCTGTAGTCCTCTGATGAGCTCTGCCTGACTGTGGGTTACAGATAAGTATTTGCACTTACAGAAATGCTAGAAGAGGGGAGCCCCGGGTACTTTAAGGAAAACAGCTTTGCTTTTTCTTTGTTGCAGGTTTTATGTGTAAGCTCTGTTTTGTTCTTCATATAATTCACATGCAATCCTGCACAACTTCAGCATAGTGCCATGGTGCGTTCTAGAAATATTCTACTGTCTCTGTCTCTAGGCGACATCCCCAGGCCCCCCTGGATTGCCTGGTACAGGTATGAGAACATCAGATAAAGAGGATCCAGAGGAATATTTACCTCAACCGCTCCACTACAAACACATGCAGGTGGAAAAGGATTATGGAGCTTTGCTGTCCACGTAAGTGTTTAAATACGGTTGAGAATCTTTGTTTACCTGGAGTTCTGCTTTAAATATTGTCAAATTAGTATTTCTACGGTATCCTTGTGAAGCTATACAAAAAGCTTTAAAGCTAAATCTGATGCAAGCTCACCTAGTCTAAATACAAGAACCATGTGTATTCTTACATTTATCTTGGTGTGCTTTGTGTATTTCTTCCAGATCTGTATAGTATTCCAGTGTGAAACTTTAGCTCTGTGCAGGAACTTCCTGTAATAAATACCAGGAGGGTGACTGGTCTTGCCACCGCCCCCTCTTGTAGTTTTCTGCAGGCAGCCTCTAGTGGGTGGGGCCTGCTGAGTCCCTCCCACAGCTCTACTCTCTGTACAAGCTATGTACCGCACAGTGATGATGTCACTGCTTCATTTACAAGGTGATATGTGGGCTTACAAAGGCACTTGGTGCACACAAAGCGATTTAGATTCTTTTGTAGCTATTGAGGAATATATTTAAAGTTTTTGCACCTAGAGGTCAGCCTTGAAGGACACACGCAATATGTTATTTTAAAGCTGAACTCCCAGCACATCCAATGTGAAATCTAAAGTTATTTACACCTCCCTATTCGTTTTTACAAGTTTATCCTTCCAGAAATTGGGTTTGCATACCCTAAGGTCTTTTTCACACCTGGGCGTTTTGTAGTTCGTTCCTACGCTCTGCAAAACGCTCAAACACTGAAATCCCATTATTTCCTATGGGTATGGTTCACATCTGGGCGTATTACAGGCCGTATGAACGCGCTACAAAACAGCCAGATAGCCCTCGGAAACGCGCGTTTGTCGCGCATTTTTTTACCGCGGTAAGAACGCGCAGCACGAAACGCGCGACAAACGCGCATATTCAATACGCCTAGGTGTGAACCCAGCCTAAAACATAATTTAAAATCATCATCTCAAGCTCCACTGCATTATTTTCATCTTTACAACATTCCGCATTGTGGCAGGTTAACATGGTGGTCATCATAGGTCATCATAGTGATGTAGCAATCAGGTTAGGACCACAGATTCTGATGTTGAGCTGCACATGAAGTGGTGGATAATAAGGGCTCTATCAAGGAACGTGAAGCATCCCTATCATTGTGTTACACAGATCAAAGTGCAGATTATGAGAAAAACATATCTATACATTTCCCTTTAGCAAGTCAGGGACTCTGGCTCTATAATTTGCAACTGTGTATCAGGATGCACTTGGAGACACCAGGTCACCTATGTCATTTTAAGGGACACAGATAGGGAGATAGCAAGCCACACACAAATCCTTTTTATCACATCTATGCTTGATGTAACCGAGGCAAGGAGGCATTTCCTTTTATGTTTCATATTACTTTACTTCTATATGCTTTTTCTTGTGCCTTGGGATTCAGCTTTACATTTTTACTTGCCACTACTGTTGAAGCAAATCTGGATGCACAGAGAGAGAGAAACCTTTGTCCCCATCTCCAAGCCAGACATTGTTCTGCATGTTTTTCGCCAGCTTTATTAGGTTATTATTATTTTTAATAAATATATTATTAGCAATAGGATTTATTAAATATTTTTATTTTTTACATTGCTTTTAGGGGCTTTGGGGAAATATTGGGGGTCTAACCCCTGATGTTTTCCTTTTAAAATAGAAAAGGAGATTTAGGACACAAAGTCCTCTATCTCTTTTTCTGTATCCCCCGTTATCAATGAACAGGAATGAGTGTTCCTGTTCATTGATAACATGAGGACGTGGTATGTTTACTATACCTACAACTATGAATGAACATGAGGTGATGTAGATCACTCCCATTCATTCATAATTGAGGATATAGTTAACATACCATGTCCTCAATTATCTGCAAACACTCAGTGATCGCTGAGTGTTTGTGCTCGCTCTCCTCTCTGACACGCTGTCACAGGAGGCTGATCGAGCGGAGCAGGGAGGTGAGTTCAGCCTCCTGTGACAGTGCTGGCTGTTTCCACCCACACACCGCTGTGCCGGACTGTGATAGGCGGCTGAGCGCTGTGGGAGGAGAGCTCAGCCTCCTGTGACAGCGCTGGCTGTCTCCGCCCACACACTGCTCTGCCGGACTGTGATAGGCGGCTGAGCGGTGTGGGAGTAGAGACGCCGGCCGCTCACAGCGCTCTCGTCCGGCAGCGCTCGGCCGGCTGTCACTTTCTTTTCTCCCCGCTGGAACACAGAGCAGCGCCCAGCGGGGAGAAAAGAAACCAGGGATGCGCCGATGTATCGGCAGGAAAATGGCACTTTCAGCATTATGCCAAAAGTGCCATTTTCGGCCGATATATCGGTGCATCCCTAATTAGCAACTATTGTGACTTGATCTTTGCTGCAGGTAAAAGTACTGTCATGATTTGTTGATACCTGTATATTCTTATTGTGCTGTTCATCCTATAGATATAGCAGCTTTAAATCCCTTCCTGATGCCCTGGGACAGGAGCAGGATGAGTGGCCTCAGCAGAATCCACCAATTGCCAGACCACATGATCACGAAAACAACAGCACTGGACAGGGGCAATTTCAAGCTTCCAGATCACAGGACCATGCCAGACCACATGATCACCAAGATAGCAGCACTGCACAGGGGCATTTTGAAGCCTCCAGATTACAGGACAATGCACAAGCTAGAAGACCACTTGGGATGATGACTCCTGTTAGTAGTCATAATGAGCATGCACAGGCTGTCAATTCACAAGACCACCAATTACAAACTAAGGCAAAGCGCCAATCTCCAAGGACCAGTCAGCAGTATTATCCAAAGTCCATTGCTTCTCAAAACTTTCCACCCGATGTAAGTCCTACAGATCATATGCATGCCTGTAGTCCAGCTAGTGGCACCAGTGTACCTGTCACACCATCTCCCACAGAGCAACGGAGAGCATCTTCTGTGTCTAGCAGACATGGCATTGTTCCAGAGGAGGAAAAATCATCTAGAAGGTACTATATCTGTCTATCTGTTTGTCCTGCTTTCTGTACAAGGTTTTGGGGAAAGTACACCAAAAAGCTGTTGCTCAGTTTCCAAACTGGCATCATCCATTGGTTTCTTACAAAACTCTGGCGATGCTTCCACACGGAGTTCCTGACTCCAGTCCTGTGACTACCCATACCTCTACCTTCCTGGATTATGTAGCTCAGCTTTATGCCATCCTGTAACATCAGTCACCCCTCCTTGAGTGCCCATACAAATACATATAATCTGGCCATGGCCAGAGGCTTTTTACTTTTACAAAAATACTAAATGTGAGCCTGTAGCTCTTTTTAACTAGATCTGAATTTCAAAGTTCTGGTTTGCCCGCATTATGAAAAATAAAAATGATTAAAATAAGCTTCAGAAAAATGCAGCCTTCCCTTTGTTTTTCAGAAAACACATTTAGTGGTTGTTAATGGCCCAGTCAAACTAGATTTGATAGGTATGCAAACAAAGCCAACAAACATACTGACGGAGGTGTAAATTGGATCACAAGTTGCACTGTTATCTCTCAACTAATCGTATCTCTCTGACACTGTTATAAGAAATGTAGGAAAATGGCCACAGATATAAAAAGGGCTGTTCTATTATTTAAAGGAGAACTATGAGGCGAGTGAAAATCACTCACCCCCATAGTTCGAGCCGCCGTGACAATTGCGCTACACACGTTACATATCGCCGCGAACGTCGCAGTGAGAGCAATAATTTTAGGGCCATCAATCACTGATAACACTAAACTGATGAGCGGTAAAAGCTTTTAAAGCGTCGCCTATCGCCAATTTTGGGTATTATCGTTTTTTGAGGTTTCGCGGGCGCACACAATTTTAAGGCTTGACATGTTTGGTGTCTTTTTACCCAAAGTCAACCCCGTCTTTTATATTTTACCCAAAAATTGGGTAATAATAAATGTTTTATTATTTAATATAGGGGAAACGGTTTGTTTTTTGTTTTTTTAAATTTCGGTAATTTTTCCTTAATATAGTAAAAAAATAAAACCCGCAGTGGTGATTAAATACCACCAAAAGAAAGCTCTATGTGTCCCTAAAAAATAGTATAAAATTCATTTCAGTACAGCGCTGCATGACGGAATAAATGTCAGTCAAAGTACTGCAGCGCTGAATACTGAAAAATGGCCTGGCCAGGAAGGGGGTTTAACACAGCGGACTTAAAGTGGTTAAAGTAACACTAAGCTAATTTTTTGTCAATAGTTAAGGCACTTGAATGCATTTTCAAGATTGGACTCCTATTAACAAAAATGTACCTTATTTGTGTATCACTCGGCTGTATAACCTCAAATCATCTCTGAATTGGTGCTGACACTGTCCTTCCTTGTGGAGGGTGTCTACTTGTGTTCCCCATGGTCCCTGTGTGTGATGTAAAGTAGCCACTGCTTCAAGCTCACTCCTGTGATGGACTACAATCTCACATTTAGTTTACTAATTTGTATATAGATTGTAGTCCATCATGAGAGTGAGCTTGGAGCGGTGGCTACTTTACAACACACAAAGGGACCATGGAAAACAAAAGTAGGCACCCTCCAGAAGGAAGGACAGTGTCAGCACCAATTCAGAGATGATTTGAGGTTCTTCAGCCGAGTGATACACAAATAAGATAAATTTTTATTAATAGTTAAGGTACTTTAATGCATTATTAAGATTTAACTTCTGAGTTTAGTGTCCCTTTAATAAAGTTGTGAAACAATGCTCTGTGTTACTTGGCCAATGCTATGAATTGGAGTACACCACCAACACATGCCCTAACAAATAGAAAAGCAGACCAGACCTGGCTTTTTGTTTGGGCTCTTTTTCATCTACATGGACGTGTTCCTGAACTCACTCTTTTGTGGATTTGGTAAATATCCCTACCACCGTATACCACCCATGTAACTTTTACATTGACTGAACAGCTGCCATATTTTCTGTTTCTCTTTGACAGACCTGCTTACGTTTTCAGTAACACTAAAGTTGAAAGTAAAATTATAATATTAATTGAAGGAAAGAACAATCCTGCTTTACTCAATACACAATGTAGTGTAGTGTGAGCACATTGTGTGTAAATAAGGATTGGGGGATGGGGACGGGACTGTTATGTTTGGTCTCTATGACCCTTATTTGTTGGCCCTGGAGCAGTTATTGCCTGGGATTTTCCTTGTCGGGGTTGAGCTGACAAATCTTCCAGTGTCTTATCACTTCTTGTCATAACTCCATCCATAACCTTGTATGGAAAAGAATGTGTAGTCCAGCACTCCCATCATTTCAGCTGTCCATTTGTTAAGTTGCCTGTATTCAGTGTAAATGTACATCAACGTACGTGTGTCTGTGTTCTGTCAGGATGTCGCATGGGTCAAAGTCTATTCCACAGCGTCTATCACTGAGCTCCTCATTGCCCCGGCTGAAGGAACAGTCTCCTCGGACCCCCACCATCGAGTTTTCTGCCAGTGAGGAAAGCATCCAGGGATCCCCGTCTCATAAAAGCACCAAGAATGTCGGTCCTTTGAGCCACAACGAGTCACCAATTACTCTTAAAGAAAGCATTGCACAGGTAAGACAATGAGTCTATGTACAGGCAAGTGATCGGTATTTACAAATGTGGGCTGCTATATAAAAACTAGCACAGAGAAAAATGTATGCAACACTTTTAAGCGCAACAGGTTTTGATACATTAGACATATTTGAAATACATAACCGTGAACAGTTTTACGGTATCAGCCAACAAGCTTGTAATTCTGTTCAACCAGTCTGATATACATACCTCTGTTAAGTCAATTGGTTCAAACAGCTAAACAGAAATATATACATTGGTCAAAAGGACAGAATTATTTTCTGCCATTCTTGTGATTCATGTATCTCTACAAAACTGCATTCCTACCATCTGTTTCCTGTCATCTGCTTGAACTATGAAATAGCAACACCATACTACTTATGCATTAACAAGCTTCTATGTGAAACAGGAAGCTGCAGTAAGAAGTAGTGGTGTCAACCGTCTTGCTATACAGTGTTGCAGAGATGGGGGAAATCACAAAACTGGATGACCATAATAACAGATTCTTCGACAACTTAAGCTGGTCATACACTGCTACAATTTGGCCAAGTCCTGCTGACTAGCTGTGTGTGGACCCCTCAGGGCTCCTGCAGGCAATCAGCTGCAGTCACTGTTTAGGTATTCAGTGGCACACCCACCGTTGTCAGATTTTCATAGCCCAGCAGGATAGGGGGAAGGATTCCCTCATCCACACTTTACCAATAAAGTGTATAGCACATTTACAACCATAACCTACAACACATAATCCATATTAAATCTAGTAAACAAATGAAGAACCATTAAAATGGAAAACAATAAAAATAGCCATCTTGGGTTTAGAAATGGAGCTCTCTTATACCTGTATGCTTGATAAACTGGTGTGGGTGATAGCACTAGAGATGAGCCTGGGCTTGGTGTGAACCCATTGAATTCCATCCAAAACTGTGACCCCCCACTTCCCCCCTCCAGACCCAATCAGTGGCGGCAGCTGCGGTGGGGGAATTCTCAGCCCGTTTGTGACATGCGGGGTGGTGACTTATTGGGTCAGGAGTAGAAGGTGGCAGTCACAGTTTTGAGCAGGCTTGGGGGAACTAGGTTTGCACCGAGTCCAAGCTCATTACTTTATAGCACCATGCAATGTGAGTGAATCGCCGGAGAGCAATAATTCTAGGGCCAATATTTACACCTATCTCTAAACTGATGACCTGTGGGGGCTTTTAAAGCATTGTGTATTGACTTTTTGGGGGTACTGAATTCTGTCGCAGTTTCACGGATGCACACAATTTTTAACCTGGGCATGTTGGGTATCTATTTACTCTTTGTAACCTCATCTTTTATATCTTATATTAAAAAATGGTTTTATATTGTGATTTGGGGCACTAAATTTAACTTAAAGGAGAATTATGGGGTCAGGGCTAATCCCCATAGTTCTCCTAAGGGTAACGGGAGGACACAAATTAGCGTCCTCCTGTCACCCAAAGCTCAGTATACCGCGAGCTACAGCTCGCAGTATACTGAGATGCCACAGCCGGGACGGACTGTCGAGATCCACCCAGCTGCGTGATTGACAGCTGGCTCTGCCTATATAGAGGCAGAGCCAGCTGTACCCACCCCCGTCCGTTCTGCCAGTCAGCGCTGGAGGATCGGACAGGGGAGGGGGGGAATCCCTGCAGGGAGCCGTGAGTGACAGCCACGGCTCTCTGCAGGGATAGATCGAGAAGTGAGCGAGCGACGCTATGTGTTCGCTCACTTCCCAATATATTGAGCCGACATGTGACAGTTTCATTGTCACAGGTCGGCTAGAACTATGAGGCTGAGTGATTTTTACTCGCCTCATAGTTCTCCTTTAAGTGCATTTTTCACTAAATTGTTGGGTTTGAGAATAAGTTGCGCTAATGTCACGCAACATAAAAGTTTGCAACTTTTGCCATTTTATTCTATAGGGTCTTGGCTTTCAGTAAATATATAATGTTTGGGGGGTTTTAAGTAATTTTCTGGCCTAAAATGTGGATTATAACATGGGTGCAAAAAATGAAAAAAAGGCCTTGGTCCTTAAGGGGTTAACAAAGCTGTTTGCAATACCATAATTAGAAACTAGATACACAGATTAGAATATATATGCAGCTTGTATTAATCAGTACATTTTTCAACATATTTTCTGCATTATAGAGGAGGATTTTGTCCCCAGAAACAGATAGTGGTTTCCTTGGTTCAGAGAGTGGACGGTGCTTTCCGCTCCACAAACAGAGACATCAGCTGAGCCCAAATAGGTAGGTAGATCTGCTGCAATGTCTTAATCCTGCTGGCTTTTCGTGCTGCATTTCCTAACACTTTTGGGCATATGACTATGTATCTTATTCCTCTACTCCTGTACACTAAAATACAAAATGTTATGTGAACAATATCTGTTCTATAAAACTGCATCAATGATTTTTGTAGTACACAGGATTGCAAAAGATGGGAGTAGAAAATGTAGTCACTGTGCCTGGCTAAGCCTTTTAAAATGTAACTTCACTTAAATTCCCTCTGGGTAATTATTCTACATTGTAAGGATTTTAACAAACTTTGTTGCCGATTCTTTCTCTGTTCTAAAGACAAAGCTGTGTGTTTCACCATGTCCTTTCTAGACCGAATCCTGAATGGGAGGGTCGGGTTCGTTAGGACCATCTGGTACAATCTCAATGTTCTAAAGTTGCAGTGTCTGCATCCAGCTAGTAGCGATTAACCCTCACCAAAAATTACATTTCTGTTGCAGGGGATGCCTAACATTTTACTTGTATCTTAGTGGAGACTTCTGGGAAAATCTATGATACAATCACAAGAAATTACTATTCTGGGGCATTCCTTACACCAGCAATGTACAGAACACCTCCATGTCGCCATATTGGCTTGCATTTTTTGAACAGTTTTAGAAAATCACAGCGATTTCAAACTCAAATGGAAAGGTCATTTTTAATAACATGAAATTGCTTGTGTAGCAAGTGTACATGTTACATTATGTTTTAACGAAAGTGGAGTTTTCCATTAAATTAACCTTATATGTTTATTTGTGTAAAGTAACTATGTTAAAGAAATAGCATGAAATAGCAATGTCAGGGCAGGCAGCAAGCAGAGAGTGGTCATTCAGTCCAGGTCAACAACTTCAGTATTATAGCTTTTTACTAGAGGTGCACCGAAATGAAAATTTCAAAACCGAAATGAAAAAAATGTCAGGCCAATACTGAAAATGTTTTTGATTCCAACGTTTTCAATTTTTTTTAAACATTTTATTTTTATTTATTTTTTATAAATGTTTTAATTTTTTAATATTTATTTTTATTAAATATTTGTATTTTTTACTTTACTTCTAGACCCCTGACTTTCCCTCTGAAAATAGAAAAAGAGATTGAGGACTCTGTCCTCAATCTCTTTTTCTGCAGCCCCTGTTATAAATGAACAGGAATCCTCTATACTGAGTGTTCCTGTTCATTCATAACTTTGAGGTAGTATGTTTAATATAACCACAATCAGGAATGAACAGGAAGTGATGTACATCGCTTCCCATTCATTCATAATTGAGGATATAGTAAACACTCTGTCCTCAATTATTTACAAACACTCAGCGATCACTGATCACTGACAGCTTGTACCTCGTTCTCCTTCCTGACACGTTGTCACAGGAGGCTGAGCGAGTGGTGCGGGAGGAGAGCTCAGCCTCCTGTGACAGCGCTGGCTGCCTCCGCCCACACTGCTCTCCTCTGATCTGTGACAGGAGGCGGTGCGGGGAGGAGAGTTGCCGGCCGCTCAGTTTCTCTCCTCCCTGTTGGGACACCGAGCAGCGCCCAGTGGGGAGGAGAGAATAGGATGCACTGCTATATCTGCAAAAAAATGGCACTTTTGGCATTTTGCCAAAAGTGCCATTTTCATCCGTTATGTTTGGTGGCTGATATATCGGTGCATCCCTACTTTTTACACAAACAGATTAGCTGGTTTGAAGACACAGCACCAGTCACTTCCAAAGCTGATGCTTGAATACCCCCCTTGATCAGAGGAAACATGGCTAGCATCATTTCAGGGAGTTCTGGCAGGGATCATGTGGCTGCTATTTAGAAATACTGGCCTGGATTCTGTGGCTACTATTTAGAAATACTGGCCTGGATTCTGTGGCTACTATTTAGAAATAGTGGCCTGGATTCTGTGGCTACTATTTAGAAATACTGGCATAGATTCTGTGAATACCATTAGAGGTACTGGCAGGTATTCTGAAAGTCCGGGCTTAAATTTGCAGAGAAGTTCTCTAAATCCCGGCAGGGACTCTGCGAGTACTATAACAGACACAGACAGGAAAAGCTGATAGGGGTTTTAGCCTTCACCTTCTCTATGCAAAAAAATGTTAACCTCAGAGCAGGAAGTTTGGAAAAATCTCTGTAATGAAGCCCTAGATAGTGAAAACCTGACGGGTTCTCAACCTTTCCCCACTCAATTTAATTGTTAATTTTTGTGTTGAATTAAAAAAAAAAAATGTAGGAAAACAAAACTCCTTTATCTTATTTGTAAATCCATTTGCAACACTTGTAACAGATTTGTAATTAGAAGGGAAACAAATTGTAGAATAACATGTATACTTTTTATCTACAGTACTGATGGCTAATTTAAAACCAGCACTGGTTAGTATAAGAAAATGTACATTCTTTAGCTTTATTACATCTCTTTGCTTATCGATTGCATAGAAAATAAGATAATGTTTGCTGACAATGTTACAAAAAAAAAAAGCTTTGTATAATATGTATTCCTTTGTTATCCTAAATAATGACAAAGTTATTGTCAAACCAAAAAGGCCCATAGCAGAAATGTGAAAATGTCTCTGGTCCTCAAGGAGTATACAGGGGAGAGAGTTAAACTGGTTAGGGAAAGATATTTTGTCGGACAGATCATCCAACCGCCATTTTGTGTCTCTGGCTATGTGTTGTTTCCGAAATAGTTCACTTTAATCCTTACTCCTTAGAAGAGAAGACGCTGTAGCAACACAAGATTCCTCTAATGCTGCTGTGAAAAATGAAAGGCGACGCTCTAAAAACAGCAGTGGTAACTTCTACAGTACCCGCAAAGTGTTACGTGACAATAGAACGCAGAACAACCCCTGGGTTGGCCCATCAGAAGCTAGCTCTCCCTCTTTGGGGCCGAAGAGCCTGACTGAAAGCGAGAGCCGGGAAGAAAGTCACACTGGTGAGTGTTATATGCTTTCAAGTATTTTTCGTTAACTTTTAAAGAAGCCAGTTCCATTGACAACAAACAGAGAAAACCTCAAAAATTAGGAGCCAGCTGCAAATTCTAAGAAGCTTTGGCTACCTGGTTTCTGGTATTTATGTAATCCTGCCATCACCCATTACAGAGCATTACATTACACAACAAATCAGTTCTGCACCTGAGTGGGAGCTGTGGACGACCCAAGAAGTGTCAGTTTCAGTGCAGACTTCACAGCTTTCTCAGGATCAAAGTTTTTGGTGGATGACTGCATTCTACCAAAGAGGGAGTACAGCCTGACTATGGAGGCTGAGAGAAGTCTGGTGGTGGGTAGTCCTTACTGAACTAAGGAGTACTGTAAACCCTGGCTGTGAAATGATGCACTCCAAGGGAGCGGGTCAATGACAGCCTAGACTCCAAGAAGAGACGTGACATTGGACAGGGGAAGAAGTGGGGAACAGTTCTAAGGCAAGGAAAAGATAAGTAGTACTTTTAATAGAGAAGGTAGGGGGCCTATAACTATAAAAAAAATGGTATATCTGCATAATGTTCCCTAATGACCCCTAATTCAGACATGAGTATGAAGAGTAATGAAGGAAGACATTAACTTGAGGAATTTCAGATACAGATGCTGGAGCATTTTATACTCAATCTTGCACTTGTATCCACTATCCAAAGTGAAAAGTGTAGTTTTGAGTGTCAGTGCAGAAGCAGGGGGGAAATTGGGGGGATGCATTAGCAGGGGTCTGCTGTTAATTTTCTACTAAGTGTTCTAAGTGTCCTTGACTGTATAGCCACCCAGATTACTTGTAGCAGCCTCCTTGTGTGGTGCTCCCCCCCAATAATTTACAGGGTCCCCCCACTTTTCTGGAGGACCCAGGATCATGGCAAATTCAAATTCATTCAGGATGAAGAGCAGACCGGAGAACGTCCATCCCCGATCTGCTCTGTGTGATCATTAAGTCAGTAGCTCTGTCTAATAGACCCCAGATGTTTCCAAAAAAACAACCTGTCACCTCCATACACTATCACATAGGAGTTTGTTAGCTCCTGTGTGAAGGAAATAAAAGTGGAAACAAATTTTAAAAAGTGATAATAAAATAAGAATAAAAAAAAAGTAAAACCATCCCTGCTGCCCCCTCTATCTGCATGCAAAAAAACACCTTGACCACCTTAAGCCATTAAAGACAGACAGGGATCACACTGACAGTCTTCCCTATGTAAAGCCAACTTTAAGCAATGGAAGGAAACAATGATGACTGACTTGAGCATTCATATTATTAATCACTCTGCCCTCAGATGAATCGGACTCAGAACGGGAAAGATCTAACAATGTTATTGGTGATGTGTCTTCTGGAGCCTCTCTGCTTCCTTCACCTACTGACGAGCCAACCCAGCCTCTCAGGAACATTATGGAGTCTCGCACAGCAAGAAAGTAAGTCAGGGATGAACATTGTGTTTTATTATTCTGTCCATTTTACCAGAAGCTGTCTTGTACCTCTCTGTGTAGTAACATGGATAGTCATTTCCACCCTTTCTATAAGCATTGGGGACTGTTTGTCAGAATTAATTCTGGTCAATTACAGAAGACCATAATATCTAAATGATCGGTACCAAAACAGCAGGTCTTAATATCAGATGGAGTTACAGGCGAAATCTAAAAATTACAATGTTAGTCCCTGTAAATCTGCGGAATTGTGAGAGAAGGTAGCTGTTATTTTAAGAAAACCTGTCCTGAGAGACAAACATGGACTGCATGCAGCTGTAGATCTTCTCCTTAAAATAACAGTTTCCTGAGTGGGGGGCGCAAGCAGAGCGGTGTGCCTGCCGCCTTTTATCCGGTTGGAGCATCCCAAGTTGCCAAGAGCCCGGTGAGGAGATGTGTAAGGGACATACACATCTCCCCACCCAGCTCTTAGCCACCTGGGACACTTGCCAGCATCCCGCCGAGCTTTTCGACATCCAGTGACGTCACTGGTTGCCAGGAGTTCGGCAGGACACCGGCCAGAGTGTCCCGCATTGCTAAGAGCTGGGAAGGGAGCTGTAAAGCCCACACACATCACCATGCCCGGCTCTTAGTGGGGTCACTCTCCACCAGCACCGCCCTTACTGAATGATTCTGCACCATCCAGCAACACCCCCCTTCTCTGCTGCCTCAGGTAGCAAAAAGGCTAGGGACGCCCCTGAGCCTACATATTATATTTCTGTCAGCACAGAGTTTCTTTAAAGGAGAACTATGGGGTCAGGGCTTTTCCCCATAGTTCTCCTACGGGTGACGGGAGGACACAAACTAGCGTCCTCCCGTCACCCTAAGCTTAGTATACGCGAGCTACAGCTGAGATCCACCCAGCTGCGTGATTGACAGCTGGCTCTTCATATCTAGAGGCAGAGCCAGCCGTGCCCGCCCCCTCCGTTCCCTCAGTCAGCACTTGAGGATCGGAGGGGCGGAGGAATCCCTGCAGGGAACCGTGAGTGACAATCACTGCTCTCTACAGGGAGATGATCGATAAGTGAGCGAGCGACGGTATGTGTTCACTCACTTCCCGATCTATTGAGCCGACCTGTGACAGTTTCATTGTCACAGGTCGGCTAGAACTATGAGGCTGAGTGATTTTCACTCGCCTCAAAGTTCTCCTTTAAGAATTTTTCTCAGAAAGGAGCTGGATGGGTATGTCCTGGGCATGACAACTAAAATATCAGTAGGATGCAAAGACTAAAAGAGAGGATTAAAAGGGAACCTGAACCTAAAATGCTTCTAAGGTAACATCAGTGCTGAAGTCTGGACACCTTATGGTGTCTTTAAGGACCGGTTAATCTTCAAAACAATCCTTGTGGAACGTTTTTGATCTTAGGCCCAGGCGGACCTTATCTTAAAAAGTTCCTCTCAGCCTACTTAAAAAAAATTGCAGGTAAAAGCATATACAAATCTGGTAATATAAATGCATGCTTGCAGCTTTTTTCTTTTACCTAATTTATTTGTTTATTTACTTGCATTTGTGCAATCACGCATTCTAGAGAGAGAAGTTGTAAACCCTCCATGGACTGCCCACATGGATAACCACAGTCTAGTATTTTACCATTACATAATGCTGGAATATCCACTCACTAGAGGTGGGTCTGTAAAGAGAAGAGATTTCAGAGTGGTGGCTTCTGGAAAATAACCACCTGCTACTAAATGTTCTGCTGGCACAGGTTTATAAACCTGGTCATACACTGCTCGAATTGTGGGCAGAATTTGAGCTGTGGGTGGCCCTGGTGACTTCTCTGTTCCACACAAGCCAATTTTTCAATACATTTTTGTTGAAGGAACCAGTCCAAAAATTGTCAACCGAACTAATCAACTGCAGTCACTGTTCGGGTATTCTGAGAGCTGCGGACACTGGGTGTCAGAATACAATAGCCCAGCAGGGGGATTCGCTCATTCATGTTGTTTAGAGCCCTGGTTCTCAACTCATGGGTCGCGACCCAAAAGTGGGTCGCGGCGCCCTTCCTGCATGGAGCAGCCCATCTTCAGTAGGGAGACATAGAGGGGGGGATTTTCTGTCAGTCTAAGGGAACTCCGTGTTGTAGGCAGGCAGGGGGATGTGTAAAGTTTGCTGGATTAGCATTTGCAATTGTAATAAAAAGAAAAGCGAATGTTACTACAACAGACTAGGCTTGGAATAAATAATGTCACCTGTCAGTGCAAAAGCTGGGGGAGGGGCTTTAGAAGGGCTGTGCTGCAAGTTTTCTACTTGCAGCGAAGCCCCTGCTAATGCCTCCCCAGCTTCTGCACTGACAGGAGACATTGTGACAGGAGACACTGATTGACATTGTACACCACCACCCATCATGGTTTTTGAGGTCCCCTGCTCTTTTGGGGGACCTGGGACCATGGCAATATGGATGGAGCTCTGTCACAGCACTGCAGCCCCCACTGGACCTCAGGCTGAGGATCCACCACAGTTCTCGATATGATAGGGAGACTGAGTGGATCTTATAAAAAGGAAAACAAGTTAAATTTTTTTTGGAGTGTGTATGTGTGTGAGAATGCCTGTGAGTGTGTGAGATTGTGTCTGTGGTTGTGTGTGTCTGACAGCGTATGGCCGCATAGTCCCATAGAGGACAGGTGCTGCGTACTAATCACACAAGCACCTGTCCTTCCCGGGAGCTGCCCGATACGGCCGTGCACGCAGCACGGAGCTCTAGGTGCCGGCCGATTCCCGTGTGAATGAGGCCTTACTATTAAGAAACAAGATTGTTTTCTTGCTGAAGTGGCAGCTGGCTACTTCCAGGTGCTCTGCTAGGACTGGGGACAGTATATTTGTCACTAAGCTTTTCCTCTAATTGGATCTCAGAGGTGTTTTGTAGCTAGCTGGAGACACCTGGGTATACTTGAATTAGCCTCAATAGCTAAGCTAGTAGTTATTAAGTGCAGGATTTGATGAAAACATGGCCCATTAATCATTCTTCATCCAAGGGTGCAACCAATATTGTGACTTGCTTCATTTCTTTTGCTGTAAATATCATTTTACTGGCAGAAAAGAAAAGGTGCACAAAGGATCATTTTCTTTTCTGGCGAAAAGAAGTATGAGGGCTGACTTTGTTGCTAAACAATGCACGTTGTTTTTCTGACTTTAGCGTCAGTATTGTCACGGATTCAGCCAATCATGCAGCAAGTGATCCGGGTCAGTGACTCAACTCTACTGATGACCTTTGGAATGAACTAAAAGGCCAAGCCAGGTCTTTTCATCGGGTATCAGTACCTGACCTCACCAATGCTCTTTTATTCCCAAAGACATACTCTGTGACAGAGTTACCTGGCGGTGGACCGTAGCGAACGTCCGCCGCCGACCAATCCCGGCGAGTCATGCCGCCCCTCCTTCTTCTGGCTCACAGATCTTAAGCCGCGCTGTTTAACTTGCTCGGTGTCCTGTTAATGTAACACGACGCTGAGCAATTCCCTGCTCTAAAAGACATCTTCCCTGCTGGGCTCCTTGAACTGACAGTCGTTACTGACAGACTCCTCTGTCTCAGCTGCATCAGAAATAAGGCATCTCTTAAAGAAGACACCTCAGTGTGGGAAGAGCTACTGCTCCAGAGGGAATACTTACATAACCAGTGTGGACTAATCCTTAAAGCTACAGACTCCAAGTATTCCCTCGTTACTTATAGACCGTCTTGTCATTCATGTAATAGAGTCAATGTTCTTGGAACTGTCATGCTGACCATGTAAAGGAATCTGCTATACTACCTGTTTATCATTGTGTCAGAAACACTGGATCGCATAGACTGTACTACCTCCTTTTAAAAAGATTGTATGAAGTAATACTCTCCCGTTAAACTGTGTACTAGGAACTCTTTTACTATACCCTGCAGGTGCTTAACTCTTGAACTTCGAAGTTATAATTGTATTACATACCCTATCAAGGAATTTTTAATTTGGCTGCGTTTATGAAAAGACGCATTATACTCCTCATTACGAAAGCACCGATAAAGCATGGAGCCGGCTTTTTGGCCAATCAGGAAGCCGGGCGTTGTGTAATGACGTGGCGCCCGGCTTCCTGATTGGACAGCTCCCGGTATCAGGAAGTTAGGCAGCACGTCATTACACGATGCCCGGCTCCCTGATTGGCAAGTGACGAGAGAGCATGGAGCCGGCTTCCCGGGCCAATCAGGAAGCCGGGCAGCATGTAATGACGCGCTGCCCGGCTTCCTGATTGGCCGGAAGCTGGCCAATCAGGAAGCCGGGCGCCACGTCATTACACAACGCCCGGCTTCCTGATTGGCCAAAAAGCCGGCTCCATGCTTTCTCGTCACCTAGTGACGAGAAGCATGGGGACGGCTTCCCTGCTAATCGGGAAGCCGGGTGGCGAGTCTTTACACGCCGCCTGGCTTCCTGAATGGGACTTCCGGTACTCAGTATTCGGTATCGGCGAGCACCGGAAAAAAAAATATCGGTACTCGATACCAAAATACCGGTATTGGTGCATCCCTACTCCTCATACACCCCATCTAGATTGACGTGTATACAGACTCTGTAGCCGAGATCCTACCAGGTAACTAACTATTCATTAACCTCATAAGTCATGACACACTCCAAAATCTTGTTGAAAGCCTTCCAAGAAAAATGGGGGCCGATTTAGCTGCAAAAGGAGTAGAGGGTCAAGGGCAACTCTATATTAATGCCCATGGTTCTGGGACGTCCAACAAGCTCATATAGATGTGATGGTCAGGTATCCAAAAACCTTTGGTCATATGTGCATAATGTACATACCAGCTTGCTATACTTGCTGTTATTATGCAGATCTGCATTTGACCTGCTTCAAGCGGGTTTAGCATTCCTAGGAGACTTTGATTGGAAAACTGGTATGACACAAACAAAAGCCCATTGACAAAGGTCCTTAGGCTGGCTTCACAGCTATGTGCTGGCGGTAACACATTAAAATGCAGATGTTAAAATGATATACATGTGCATTCATGATTTTCCATTCTGAATAGCACTCTAAAGCTGGCCATATACCTTACAACCATCGCACGACTTTCGTTGTGCGATGGTTGTAAGGTGATTCAAATTTCGTATGATCTACCCATCTTGGACAGGCAGATCGTACTTGCGATCATCGCAAGCCCTCCCCGCTGAGGGGAGGGCTTCTGATGATTGCAGTGTTGAGCGGACACCAGCACCAGCTTGCGCACACCAGCCCGTGCGACATTCGTCTCCCGACCACGCCATCAACCCGCCGAAAATCATACCATTTTCGGCAGGTTTTCAAGCGTGCTCTAAAGACGAATGTTGTGCGACCTTACAGTAGAAGCGGTCGCACGCTGCCTATACACCTGCTGATTATCGTACGATCGCGGGAACACCCGCGATTATCGTACGATAATTGGCAGGTGTATGGGCACCTTAACACACATATACAAAATGGTCAAATGCACCTGAAATATAGTACACTACAGTGCACAGATGTAATTATTGTGTGTTGCTCAGGAGGAGCCAGGATGCATTTTTTTGTGGTCAGGCTCAATAATCATGTTATAAGTAGGCACCACAGCAAAAAATAGTATGTTAGTTTTAGGAAGAGCTAAGCGTCATCAGTTCTAGTAAGCTGGAAAGACAGAGGGAAATTGCTAAAAGTACTTTGGTTAAAGGAGCCGGTCCGAAAATCGTTGGCTGAGCAGTGACTGCAACTATTAGGAGATTCTGACCATAACACACCTGCAGCTGTCAGAATACAATAGCCTGGCTGGGGAGGGGAATTCTTTTAGCATGGATGGGGAATCAAAAGTTTTTCCCTAAACATCCTCGTCTCTTCTAAACCTCCCCCTTATTCCCCAACCCCTCCTGACTTGCCCTGATCTCCTGAGGTGTGTGTTTGGTTACAGGTAACTAGGTGTTGCTATATACCACAGATGAAGGATTGTTGCTGTGCTGACTGTGTGCCAGTTTAGTTTGTTAGTATGGGCACTGTGTGCAGATATGCATTCAATATATAATTTGTGAACTTCCATGTGTTCACCATTGTGTCTGTGCATCGAGCTGCACAGATATGGAAGAGCTTGCAGATAATGTCCTGTGAGTAGTAAGAGTGATAACCAGTTTGATGTCTCTGCCTTTCCTTCATAAATTGTTTTCTCTGTCTGTGACCAGCTGATAACTAGGAAACGCATTGTATGAAGTTCTCTGAAAAATAAAAAAACAACGCTTGGCAGCTCTGGTATATCATGCCATGGCTTGTTCTGGTATTTACACTCCTTGGATTTTTCTGCTTTCTCTCCCTCCAGTCAGGCCATCCATGATTTACAGAAGGAAGTGACTCAGCTTCGTCACCACTTAGAGAACAGCCTGACCCGATCACCAGCCCGAGGGAAGCTGTGGAAGCCAACTGCTGCTAAGTGAGTGAACTGAGTTATGAATAAAATCGCATCATTATCAAAGTGTGATTTGCTAAACTTTCTGTGCAGATACTGTAGCTAGAAACCCATCTCCTGCTGGTTCTTCCTCCTCCCCGGATCAAAGAACATATTCTGACCTCTAGTGCAGGTGAAAGCTGCCCCTCTACATTATCAGGTGACATCTGATGGTCAAGCATGTTTATTATGGGAGTCTAGAGACTGGGAAGCTTTGAAGTTACAATGCCAAGAGGTTTGAGGGAACCTCCAGCTTTAGTTTAAAAAGGAACCTCCCTGACAGTAATGGTGACAATGTCTTAGATAGGAGTGTATAAGTGCAATAGAAATCATTTTTTCCAAAAACAAAATGGCTGGTCAAGAGGGTGTAGAGTCAAAGTCTTAAAATCCTAAGTAGATGTAATCGCTTTTAGTTATCTAAACATGGTGAAGGGAATTTATCAAAACTGGAGCAGACAAAATCTGGAGCAGCATTGCATGGCAACCAATCAGCCTCTGTCTTTCATTTTCAAATCTTAACAGAACAAACTGAAGAGAGAATTTGATTGGTTGCCATGCACAGCTGCTCCAGATTTTGTCTGCTCCAGTTTAATAAATGCCTCCCTTTGTATCAAACTATTGCCTTTGTTTTTAATAAAACACTTATTTTCAAGTTTTTTCCATCCTTTGTTGCATGTCAGTGCTGCTGATCTTTGTCAGCCTCTTTGTAGCCACTTGCGGTCTACATGCACTCCAACGATGGCTGCGTGGCATTTCTTAGGGCGGGTTTCCTGATATGGTAACAACAGTGGATCATGTCTGCAAAATGTGTTTTGAAACGGTCACTTGTAGTCTCCATCGGAAGCTCCTGTGACAGGGTGATAACGCAGAAGCACAGATGAGAGATGGCGGCAGACTGTTGTCACCCTATAGCAGGAAGTTGCTGAACAAGGCAATTAATGGCAGGATCACCAGGTTTAGCAAACCATGCACATTTTAAAAATAAATTATAGTTACATTACCTCAGTAAAACTTTGAGGGGTTTTAAGGGTCATTTTATCAATGTTTTCACCCAAGATTCACAAAACATTTGCCTAAGATTCATTCATTTTTCTAATGGAATCTTATAGTGAAATGGGTGAATCCTGGGTAAAAACATTGATCTTTAGATTCACATACAGTATACATAAAGTTTTGAACAGAGTGGAGAAAAGTCACAGCGGTTGTCAGGTTGTTAATGTTGCTTGTGTCCCCACAAGCATCGAAGTGAAGATATTTCCCTTCACTTCCTGTCCCTGCGACATCAGGGTAAGAATTGAGGGGAATGAGTACAGGTTTACACGGGAAATAATTAAACCATTGTGGGTGGCAGGTTGCTGTGGACCGCACAGTTCCATATGATTGTTATTTTCTATTGAAAGATGATGGGAGGCTTTTACAGTTGCCCCCAAATGGCCACCATTACAGCTGAATTATGGATACATTTTCCAGTGATTTATTTCCTATTTTAGAAGAAATCCTAGCTGGAGACTGGGAAAGTTTATCTGGTATCCCCCAGGAACTCAAGGAAACAGATTTCTATTTACATCTTCTACATTGTTAACCTGCTTGATTTTATCCGAACAGTGCAGATCATTGTGGGCACTCTGTACGTACACTATATGATCAAAAGTATTTAGAAGCCTGCCTTTATACACACATGAACTTTAATGGCATCCCAGTCTTAGTCCGTAGGGTTCAATATTGGGTTGGCTCCACCCTTTGCCGCTATAAGAGCTTCAACTCTTCTGGGAAGGCGTCCACAAGGTTTAGGAGTGTGTCTATGGGAATGTTTGACCATTCTCCCAGAAGCGCATTTGTGAGGTCAGGTACTGATGTTGGAGGAGAAGGCCAGGCTCGCGGTCTCCGCTCTAATTCATCCCAAAGGAGTTCTATCGGGTTGAGGTCAGGACTCTGTGCAGGCCAGTCAAGTTCCTCTACCCCAAACTCGCTCATCTATGTCTTTATGGACCTTGCTTTGTACACTGGTGCGCAGTCATGTTGGAACAGGAAGGGGCCATCCCCAAACTGTTCCCACAAAGTTGGGAGCATGAAATTGTCCAAAATGTCTTAGTGTGCTGATGCCTTAAGAGTTCCCTTCACTGGAACTAAGAGGCCAAGCCCAATCCCTGAGAAACAACCCCACACCACAATCCCCCCTCCACCAAACTTTACACTTGGCACAATGCAGTCAGGCAAGTACCGTTCTCCTGCCAACCGCCAACCCAGAGACATCCATCAGATTGCCAGACAGAGAAGCGTGATTGGTCACTCCAGAGAACACGTCTCCACTTCTCTAGAGTCCAGTGGCGGCGCGCTTTACATCCCTGCATCCGACGCTATGCATTGCACTTGGTGATGTGCGGCTTGGATGCAGCTGCTCGGCCATGGAAACCCGTTCCATGAAGCTCTCTACGCACTGTTGTTGTGCCAATCTGAAGGCCACACGAAGTTTGGAGGTCTGTAGCTATTGACTTTGCAGACAGTTGGCGACTTCTGGGCACTGTGCGCTTCAGCATGCGCTGACCCCGCTCTGTCATTTTATGAGGCCTACCACTTCATGGCTGAGTTGCTGTTGTTCCCAGTTGCTTCCACTGTGTTATAATACCACTAAACGTGCCCATACACCTGACGATTATCGTACGATAATCGCGGGTGATCCCGCGATCGTACGATAATAGGCAGGTGTACAGGCAGCGTGCGACCGCATTTAAACGCTATCGTAGATTTTCGGCGGGTTGGTAGCACGATCGAAAGCCACAATCGCACACTGCCCGCTCAGCATTGCAATCATCGGCAAGCCCTTTCCTCAGCGGGGCGTGCTTGCGATGATCGCAAGTACGATCTGCCTGCCCAAGATGGGCAGATCGTACGAAATTAGAATCACCTTACAACCATCGCACAATGAAAGTTGTGCGATGGTTGTAAGGTGTATGGGCAGCTTAACAGTTGACCGTGGAATATTTAGTAGCAAGGAAATTTCACGGATGGACTTATTGCACAGGTGGCAACCTATCATGGTACCACGCTTGAATTCATTGAGCTCCTGAGAGCAACCAATTATTTCCCACGTTTGTAGAAGCGTCTGCATGCCTAGGTGCTTAATTTTATACACCTGTGGCCATGGAGGTGATTGGAACACCTGAATCCAATGATTTGGAGGGGTGCCGCAATACTTTTGGCATTATAGTGTACTTCTAGCTCTGCTCTAGGCAGATATAAAGAAACAACACCAAATGCAGTTATATAATTATAATAATGATAAGAAAATGTGGTTATAAATGCTGGTAGTACCAGTGCCTAAAGGTGCCCATACACCTTACGATGATCGAATAGTCGTACGATTTCCGTACGGCAGCCCCATCCTGCCCCGATGATCGCAAGATTAATTTAGCCGTAATAACCGAAAAGCACCTGGACGAAATGCGCTAATTGATTTGCCATATTTTCGTTAGCGCAAGCGCAGTGTAGATCGTACGACTTTTGACGGACGGAAACGCCAGCAACCTTATGAAAATTGTAAGACCTAGCAAAGTTTTAAACATGCTTGACCGTCAAAACTCGTACCATTGTACAGTACTGTCGGTTGGACACTGCAATGCACACATACGATTATCGGACGAAAAGTCGACCGCATACGAAAATCGTCCGATAATCGTAAGGTGTATGGGCACCTTAAATCTGTGTTGTGTTAGGCTCCTGTAATCCCTGTATAGCAGCAATGGGAGAGGGGAGAGCAGCACTACCAGGCATCATTCTTATCAGGGCCTATCAGGTATCATTCTTAAGAAGGGTATGCACAGTTTAATTTTCTTATGAAAGAAGTCATTTTTGGAATGTTCGTTTGAATATCTATCAGTTAGTATGGTGCAAAACGACAATGTTCCCGAATTTCTTTTAAAAAGCATGTTGGAAAATGTTCTCAATCAAACGAATTTCTAACTATCAATGTGGTTTTCATTCGGAAGCTCCATTCATTCCAAAATAAAATATTAAATAAAAGCTGAGGGGGAAGTTGGTTTTAATGGCATGACATAAAGCTTGCTTATTCTTTACAGGAAGCAACATGAGGCGGACGTTCCTCACTTTTCCCCTGGCTTGGATTCAACTATTTACAGACATCGGGCTCCAGTAAATGAAACAAGGACAGGTACGTGTTTCAGGAAAGCAGAATTGCTAATCAATGTCGTAGAGTGCCGATTCTGTCCAGACCGCAATCGCCGACCTGCTCTGGGTTATGACTGGCTGACAGTAGGTACACCAGCCTCCATAAGCCAAAGCAGGCCCCCCTCGGTTTCAGTCATTGTTTGTGGGGACCGCTGTCTTCCTAGCAACCAATGACATCAGGCAGGGCTGGGTGCTACAACTACAAGTTTTAGTTGGTGGCTGAACAGCCACCTAGATCAACTGCACTAGTCTGCTATTGTGCACCCCCCTGCCATGGGTTTCAGGTCCCCTGCTCCTCTGGGGGGCCTGGGACCATAGCAGTGTCTGGATGGAGAGCAGGAGCAGACTGAGGAATCTGCACTGTGCTGAATGAAGCATGGAGCGATGTGCTCTCTGTGCTTCCTGCTTCAGAACTGATGTGCCAGGTAAACTGGTGATTAAGCACAATCCTGTACTTGATCGTCTGTACCGGAGGGCAGGGGAGACATCAGGGGTCTAGTAGACCCCTGATGTCTCCATAAAAAGAACATGTCACCTCCAAATGTTGTCACATAGTGGCTTGTTAGCCCCTTTGTGATCGCAAAAAGTAAAAAAGAAATAAAAAAGTGATAAAGTAAAAAGTAATCGAATAAATAAAAATGGAAACCAACACTGCCATGTGATTTGAAAGTAAGCGGGGGGGGGGAGTTCTAACAACACTGTGCCTGGGAACACACACCAGCAGCTGTGGTTAAAATAGATTTTACAGCCTACCCACCCTCATGCAAAATGCAAAGTAAACCTGCACTGCACAGGGGTGTATTCTCTGCAGTGAGGCCAAGTGACATCATATCTTGACAAGGAGATTGGAAGCTGTAAACTTAGATGACTGTCTTTTACCTTAAGTCCAGCTTCTAGCCATTGCTGTTTGAGTAAAGGCAGCCCTTTCATTTTAATAGGCTGCCACAGCACTGCAACACAGGTTCTAATGCAGCTGCACCTTTTTCAATGCAGCACACTACAAATGCACAGGTGTTTCATATAAGTGCATTGTTGTACATTTTGGTGAGCTTTATAGGTGTTTTAGGGTGGCCCTGAAAATAAATGGCAGCTCAATGCTAGAGGCATGAGTTAACATGTGTTGCAGAAATATGCAGTGAACACTTTTTGCACTTTAGAGCAACTTAACAACATGAATCTGCTCCAACTCAACTTCTGCTTGGCAAATGTCGTCAGAGGTCCCAGTCTCTTATTTTGCACCAGGGCCTGTAAACTTCTCTTATTAGCTAAGCCTCATAAGAGTGAAATCCAGAATGAAGCTCCACTATTCAATTCTCAGCTTCGGTGGAAAAAGCTGGGCTCTGGCCTGCCCTCTCCCATCTTCTACACCACCCTGTTGGTCTGCTAGGCCATCCATCACTTTATTCTAATAACAAAGTCACTGGTGCCAAAGTTCATCCTCCAAAGGTATGTAAACATCAGAACTTCTCACAAGTGGGCAGCACTTGAAACAGTCAGGGTGTCTGAGGTCTAGCACACAGGAAACAGAAAAAAAAACAGTGCGCCTCTCTAGTGTAGACTTTATTAAGTGAAAAATGTTAACAAGCAAGAATGGTGCTCACAAACAGCCGATGTTAAAAAGCCTGTAGTGTGCAGAGGTGAATCTGCACTGAATGAATATCAGATGTCAGTCACATCAGGACCTGCGATAGAAGCATTCCTCCTTCTGCTAACATGACAGGCACGGTTAACGCGTTTCCGGTGTGATACCAACAAGTTCCTATAAGACTCAAAAATTGGCCAATCAACAACTGGCTGGAGTGCGACACAACGAGTGGCCAGCCAATAGGCTCCGTTTATGAGACCTCTTCATTCATGCTCACGTGACCACCAGCTCTCCGGCTGTGTAATGTGGTAGCTATGGTTAGAGCCGTACATGCAGGGCTGCGGGCAAAGTCTAGCTCCTCCCCCTGACCAATCACAAATGGACGGGGGAGGAGCTGGCATGTCTGTAGTTGTCCATGACTGAGTCTGATAGCAGTCGGTGACTGAACAAATTATGATATCAATTGTAGGAGCTAATAGGGGTGCTAACTTGATTGATTAAATACATTAGATCCATCTCAAATGATCTGCAAGGATCGCACTAAAAAGGCGAGCCCTCACAGATGATCACAATGTTAAAATATAAAACATATGTGAAACAAAATGTACATAAATAAATGTATATATACACATGAGAAAAACCCCATAAATACACTGAACACATGTTAAAAACACCAAGATGTAAAAACCACACATGGAGAGTACGTGATGCAAGTAAAAAAATTATTTTGATTCATCTGATTTACAGAACCCCAGTGGAGAAACCCTGTGTCACATGACCATGACCCTACTGATCAAACTAATCAGGAAGCAAAGGGAGTTCAGGGGCCATATACAGGTGAGTCATTAGACCTATACATATGGCAAAGCTATCATACGAGAAGCATGGACGCTACCATTGCTGATGCTCTTTTGAAAATGCTAGTTGGTGGCTCACCCACTTTCTGAATCACTGGCCCAAGACACGATGTATATTTATACCCAGGGCCATAACTATCCATCTTCAAGGGAATTTCTTTACCAGTACTAAATACTGATTGTTTTCATAACAAATCTGTAGATGTACTCAAACTATATATACAGAAATAGTACAGTAATCTTATCCAAATGTATTAGCCAGATGCTTATGCTTAATGCATAAATCACGGTGTAGCTGTGCAGCTCTGGCCAGCTTTTTCTTCTGGACCCTGCAACAGTCACGAGTTCTGCTTTCACTATAGTGACACCCTTGTTTATCTTTTTGTAGTCCCGGAAATTATTATTAGCCAAATGATATTGCTAACTGCATCAATCACTATGTAGTCATATGACTCTGGCCCACTTGTTCTACTGGGCCCTGCAGCAGTCAAATGTTCTGCTATCACTATAATGACACCATTGTTTAACTGGTCTAGTTTTCGTAAAAATCATAATTTCTGTAGCTATAGTTACCTGGTCTGATGCCCATCCTAGGTGCCTTTGCTGTGCGGAACAGCAAAGCCACCCAGAGAATCTTCACCTCCAATTAGAGGTGCACCGAAATTGAATTTTCTGACAGATGCCAGGAAAAAAAAAAAAATTCTAACCTTTTTACATTTTTTTTTTAAATATATTTTTTTTTATTTTTTTTTCAAAACTTTTTAAAATAAATTCTTTAAATATCTTATTATTTTTTTTTACTGTCGGGGCTCTGGGAAATGTCAGGGGTCGAAACAGACCCCTGATATTTCCCTTTTAAAATAGAAAAAGAGATTGAGTGCTCAATCTCTTTTTGTGCAGCCCCTGTTATGAATGAACAGGAATCCTCTATACCGAGTGCTTTTGGGGCAATAGTGCGTTTACCATGTCTGCAATCATGAATGAACAGGAAGTGATGTAGAGCACTTCCTGTTCATTCATAATTGGGGACACAATAAATATACTATGTCCTCAATTATTTACAAGCAGTCAGCAATCACTGATCACTGAGTGTTTGTATACCGCTCTCCATCCTGACTCCCTGTCACAGGAGGCTGAGCCGGCGTTGTGGGTGGAGAACTCTGTTTCCTTTGACAGCTGACTCCTCCTCCACATCGCCGGTTCTGCCTCCTGTGACAGCTCACAGCTCTTCATCCTGATCTGTCACAGGAGGTTGAGCGGGGTGGTGTAGGAGGAGAGCTTGGCCTCCTGTGACATCGCTGTTCACAGCCCCTCTCTGCCCCCAAAGGTTCCACAAAGGGACACCGGACCAGGTAAGTATAACCTCTTTTACTTAGCAGTCGATCTTAACACTTACCCCATTTTTTTGTGGTGCCAGGGTGGGTTTAATTTTATTTTCTCACTTACTTAGGAACGCGGTACCAATTTTCAGATCGCCTACCGATTCACACAATTGAACATGTGCCACACTGCCAGAGATGCCAAGAATCCGACAGAAAGAAGCACGGTATGAGCCACTTAGGTTCATCATTGTTGTTTACTAGAAGAAAATACTTTTGCAGAAAGCCAACATTTGTTAAGTGCATATGTAAAACTGCAGAGATAAGCCCACACAAATAAGCAAATGGATACATTTTAAAACCATGAGCTTGCCATTTGGTTGCATTATTATATACTTTGGGTTCACAGGTATATGCTCCACCCTCATTCTTGAAGAGAATCAGTCAGATGTGTGTTTTTATATATTAATGTTTACTTCTCAGGGATAGGTGTTTGTACTCATACTCACTTCTATTTGTTTTCTGTTAGAGCAGAGATTTAATTGCATTGATAGGCTATACGACCCTTGGGCACTAACCCTTCTCCTGCCTTAGTTCAGGGCTGATGACTGACATTGTCTGGGCTACTGTGAGAAAATAAAACTTCTTCATGTATTGTTGACAGAAGCTTTGTTAATTAAAAGTCCATTATCGGCATTGAGCTCAGGCAAGAAATAGGACATCCTTACACCCGGACATTTCAGCTGTAACTGGGAGAGAATTCAGATACATAACAACCACGTAGTACCTGAGAAATAAAGCTGCTTTATTATAACAATTCAAAAGTGGAAATCCAGTTTATTACAGATACTTATTGGATACAGTTTCTAATTCAAATGAAGCTGTGGCCAGGCTCAAGTAGTTACATATTCTTGAACAACAGAAGCATTCACGTTGTTCCAATCCTTTTCTCTGCAGCTCAGCTTACCCTGCTTCTCCTCCCAGCAGTCACTTAGCAGCTCAGCTCCCAGCAAATGACTCAGCAACTCAGCTGCCAATGCTCCCTCTTCCCAGCAATGAGTCAGCAGCTCAGTGTACCCCGCTCCCCCTTGTAGCAGTGACTCTCCAGCTCAGCTTCCCCTGCTCCCACATCCCAGTAGTTACAAAGCAGCAGTCTAATCTCTAATGGGCAGGGCCGGATTTACTCTCCCTGCCGCCCCAAGGCCAGGTTTTGCAATGCGCCCCCACATCAACAGAGAATGGCAACCGGATGGTAGGGGCGGCAGGGTTAGTTTAATTTTTTTTTATTGTTTCTTTATTTTTTTAACTTTTTTACATTTTTTTAAATTTTACTTTTTTATTTTTTAATCTTATTATTGTTTATTTTTTATATATATTTTCTTATTTTTTAGTAATTTTTTCTTATTTTTTACTTTTTAATCACATTTTTATTTAATTATTATTTCTTATTTTTTTAATTATTATTTTTTTCACTTAACTTTATTGCTATCACACAGGAGCTAGCTAACAAGCCCATGTGTGATAGCAATTGGAGGTGACAGGTTCTCTTTATTGACCCTGTCAACTTCCAATACAGGAGTTCTAGCACAGCACTGTGCTGGAACTCCTGTGACAGGTGAGAGAGGAAGAACACAGCTCTCCCCTCTCACTGTATACACGGAGCGTCAGGGTTAGTTTTGACCCTGCCGTTCTGCTCCCCACATCGGCGGCCAGTGAGGAGAGACTCGGCGGCCAGAGGGGAAGATGGAACCAGGGGAGAGGGGTAAGTGCAGGGGGAGGACGGACAGGCTGCACACATTTTACCCAGGATCGCTGCGACATTGCCACGATCACTTGTAAACGAACAACACTACATTTAGTCCTGCCTTTCCAAAGCAGGACTAAATGTAGAAGGCAACTTACCACCCGGCGCCCGGAACTTTATGTTCCGGGCGTCGGGAGTTTCCACACCGCTGCCGCCTCTCTGCACCCTGCTGCCCAGAGGCCTGGCCTTGTGGGGAATCCGGGCCTGCTAATGAGTACATGCTCTTGAGAGAACCTGAGCTGCTGAGAGAACCACATATCCAGAGATGGACATCCCATTCTAACAGGAAGTATTGTTGCCCCAAAAATACTTTGGCAGTTTTTGTTTAATTGAATTATGAATAATTATAGGCACCTTTTGACTCTTTCACCTTTTAGTCCAGTGAGTGTGCGTAAAGAGGAAGCATTTCTTCTTTCCCATTGGTTCACATCTGTAACATTATTAGGCTGGCCATTCATGCTCAATTCTGGCCTAGTCAGCATCCGAAGTCAAGTTTTAACTGGAATTCAAATCAGTGTATGGCCAGCTTAACAGCCGAATGGCAGCAGTAGAGGGTTAAGCTGGGAGACACAACCTTTATATACACCGCAAAGAACATAAAAGCAATTGTTCAGAGACTAGAATATACACAGTTATGCCAACATGGGCCAGTCCTCCACTGCAAAGTAGATGCTGACCCTGGCATTGTCAGTGGGTCTGTGATTGCTTTGAAAGGTAATAAATCATAGTACACTTCTGCAGGGCTTAACACATTTTAGCTAAAGCAACCATGAGCTTATAGTAGAACTGTAAATGCCAGGTCCGTACGGCATACTGAGCTGGCCAGCCAGAAGCACTTTTGTAGCTCCGTATGCCGTAGGCAGCTAAAAAAGTTAGGAGCCAGATTTGTTTTCGGGTGGGGGACTCAAAATTTTTAATTTACTTTGCACTGTTGAATTTGAGTTTTGTGTTCGAATTGTAGAAAAGCCGAAACATTTGCCCATATCGGCTAATAACATCCATCATTGGTTCTTGTGAGCAGCATGAAGTTTTATAAGAGGCTGGTTGATATCGGACATTAAAATGTACCGGAGATGACACTGGAGTACAGGACACTTTGCTCCTTTGTATTTATACTTGTTTAATGATGTATTCCATAATTGTGTTCTCTGCAGTTACCATGAAAACATCAAAGGAGGATGAAAGTGTCCTTCCCACACACCCAGCCTGTCTGTTTTGCATGGGAAAGAGTGGATCTTATAATGCACCAAGAACTGGTGAGTTTATTTTAGGATGTAGAATATTTTCTAGTGATTAGGAAGAGGTTTTATGACAGACTAGAAAAAGTGTGATTGTTCCAGTATGGTTGTTTTTGGATAGTAACTATATTATTATTATTAGATCTCTGCTACATCAGCTTCTTTGAGGGTCCCCAGGTGACATTAGGGGTCTTAGAGACCCCTAATGTCTCCATAAATAGGACCTGTCAGTGTCCCTGTGCTATCACATAGGAGGATTGTTAGTCCTCTATGTGATAGCAATAACATTAAGTGTAAAAAAAAATAATAATAAAAGTCACATTAAAAAAAAACCCCACAGATTTTTTAATTAAAAGTACATTTTTAATTATTTAATTGTTTAAGTCCCCCACCACCATGTATACGCACATATAAATGGAAAAACGCTTTGGTTGCGCCAACGCGCGAAAACGAAAATAGCGCTGGTCATGTTACATATCACCGCGAATGGTGGAGTGAGAGCAATAATTTTCGGGCCGTTAATCACTGATAACACTAAACTGATGAGCGATAAAAGCTTTTAAAGTGTCGCCTATGGCCAATTTTGGGTATTGTGGTTTTTTGCGGTTTCGCGGGCGCACACAATTTTAAGGCTTGACATATTTGGTGTCTATTTACCCGACGTGACCCCGTCTCTTATATTTTACCAAAAAATTTAGTAATAATAAATGTTTTATAACGTAGGGGAAACCGTTTTTTTTTTATTTTTAAAAAAAAATCTTTTTTAAATGTCAATAATTTTTCCTTAATATAGTAAAAAATAAAAACCCTACGCCAACTCTCACCCTGACTCCACTCCTTCCTAACCTTTCCCTGCCTCAGTCCCAAGCCTTTCTCTGTCTTCTCCTTACCCCCCCTTCTCTTTGTGCCGACCATGCTACGACCTCAGCATAGCATGTATGTAGTTACACTGCCTTCCTGCGTGAGACATGGGAAGCATGACACATTCCATAGCATAGTGGTTGCGCCTCACCCATCGGTGGTGGCGCTTGAATACGAACTGTAATATCTGTATACCCTACCATCGTTGGGGCTACAAAACCAGTAGAATTGTCAAATCTTATATACACTTCGCGTGTTCATACTGTAGCCACTGTATTTTATGGTACTGCACAACTCTGTTTTCTCCACTTATCTACTGTTTGTACAAATGGAAAACTGAAAATAAAGAATTAACAAAATAAATAAAAAAAAACCCGCAGTGGTGATTAAATACCACCAAAAGAAAGCTCTATGTGTGCCCAAAAAAATGGTATAAAATTGATTTTCAGTAAGCATTGCAGGACGGAACAAATGTCAAAGTACCGCAGCGCTGAATACTGAAAAATGGCCTGGACAGGAAGGGGGTTTAACGCCAGAGGTTAAAAGGAGAACTATGAGTTGAGAGATTTTCACTCAACCTCATAGTTAGAGCCGACCTGTGACAATGAAACGGTCACACGTCGGCTCTATTGATCGGGATGTGAGCAAACACATACTGTCGCTTGCTCACTTCCCGATCATCTCCCTGCAGAGAGTGGTGACGATCAGTCAGCACTCTCCGCAGGGATTCTCCCCCTCTCTGATCCTCAGACACACAGGGCCCTCTTCCTCTTAAGAGATCTGGAAAAATGGGCAGTCCTCAATACAGGGCTGAGGTCATCAATCATGTCAGCACCCCTCTGTGCGTCAATGTATGGAAGTGCAAGGCACCGTGGTTACATCCCCCGGGGTTAGTTCCATGTTGCCATGCACTCACTGGATGTCCTCGGTCTTCCACGTCAACTGATGCTGAGCATTATTTAACCTTTGAATTCTTGGGACAGCTAGTGGCGGAAAACATTACTGCATGGGCCACAGTGCCTAAAGCTGGCCACAGACCTTACAACCATCGCAAGACTTGTGTCTTGTGATGGTTGTAAGGTAATTAAAAAAACGTACGATCTGCCCATTTTGGACAGGCAGATCGAACTTGCGATAATCGCAAGCCCGCCCCGCTGAGGGGGGGGCTTCTGATGACCGCAATGCTGAACAGGCAGTGTGCGCTTGCGCACACTGGCCCGTGCGGTTTTTATCTGACGAACATGCCACACACCCGCCGACAATCGTACGATTTTCGAACATGTTCATAAAGATAAAAGTCGACCGTAAAGTAAAAAAGGTTGCACGCCTTTCACACACCTTGCAATAATCGTACGATCGCGGGATTTCCCGCGATTATCGTACGGTTATCGCAAGGTGTGTGGGCACCTTAAAGTAGGTGAGAAATGCAGCCAGAGATGAAATGAGAGAATCTGGGGAGCTGCCAATGCTGGCCACTAAAAATGCTGGTAGGCCGACTGTCATACAGATCAAGTTCTGACCTCAACTTATCCTTTGAATTTGTACACTTGTTCCAGGTGAGTGCCTCAGAATGTACTGATACGGAGATTGCCAGGAAGCTAGTATTCCCTCACTAGAGCGGGCTTCATAAATACTTTGAGCAATACCCCTATCCTGCTATATCTCAAGGTCTGCCCATCCCCCAATACAGATGGACTGCAGTATATAATATGAGCAAATACTTTTTTGTGGTAAATTCAATGTTTCTGCATGCAGGTAAAGAAAGGATCAAATAAAGTTATTTGAAAGTGATTGTTATTGAGTGTGTTTTATTGCATGTCAATGCGTCTTGCACCAACACGTTGGGCATGTGTTTTGTGGTGCTCCCAATTGTTTCTAATGGGTCCCAAACACACATCCATGCAGTAAACAACACACCTGACCCTTTAAAACACCACAACTCATATACAAGGAAATATGGTGCTGTGTTGTAGTGCATTGGTAAAAAAAAGGAAACAAGGTCAGGTTTTTTTGGTTTGTGGACGCTCATTGAGGACTTCTAGGTAACAATAGGCAAATGCAATACATGTTGACACATTAAAAGGTGTGCTGCAAAATGTGATGCTGACTTGTTTTGTATGTGACCAGTGTTACTCTGACACCTACAGGCAAGATTGTGAATTACATAAGGATGCAAAAACTCCAGCTAATGCCTTTATTTGTTGTCTCAGAGCAGATAGGGAAGGATTAGACGATCTGTCCGTTTTTATTGCCGTCTGTGTCGCCCAGTATAGAGATTTTCCCTCCCTTCTTGTCCCGGTGACAGGCTGTCCAAAACACAGGAAATAATGGAAAAATCTCTTCAGTGGGGATAAAGGAAGTTATTACTTTTTTTTGTCAAATTGGAGAAGGATTAGAACATGGCTTCTATGGTTCCTCATTTCTTCTTCGGTGAGAAGAATTCTCCTTCTTAAGGTCACTGGCCGCAATCGAAGCCTGAAAAAGGTTATAACCGTTCCTTGCATCAAGCAAAAAATGCTTGGGCTGGGGTTTAAACACTCCACCTGATGGTGGGGGGGGGGTCTGGTGGACTTTTTGCCAGTGGTTTCTTATAACTTGAATTGACCGCTCTCTTCCATAGTTCCTGGCTTTTCCTGCCTGCCTTGAAGCTTTGGGTGCTGCACTCTCCTTAGTATAAAATGGAAACCTGTACTGTGGGGTATAAAAGACCTGTCACTGCTAATCTCCCTCTGAAAATATGTATAGCATGAGTGACTCTAGCTTCAGAATTCCTAAAATCACCGATCCGGGAAAGTATGCAGTAAGTAAAGTGAGACTTCCTGATATGCTTACTTGTTTTGGTTCAGTGATGTAGAGAGATTAGAGGACACTGAATCAGCATGACAACGAGGCAGCTAACATTTCCCGAAAGAAGTAAATACTGGCAGCTTGTGTATTTCTCTTACTTCCAGAGTCCCCATGAAACGTAATCTGTTCTAATCCTTCTGCACTTTGTTGAAAAAAATTAAAAGGAGAGGTTGTAGAGCTTTCATGCATCTACTTAGCAGTGAAAAAATTTTTTTGGGTGGCCTGACCTTTTACCGCTGCCGGTCCCCATTATGCAGATATATATTTTTCTATCAACAGAAGTCTGCCCTTTTCTGACTCCCTCCTTTTTCCTACAGGAATGAGTAATGATGAAAACAGGCGTCATCGAAGGAATAAGCATTGCCAGCACTGGTATATGAGTCATCCTCCTCCAGTAGGCTATGTTCCCAGTCCACCTGTGCCATACAGCCCTCCTGTCATGTGAGTTATTGATTTCATGACTGATCCTAGAGACCAGGGATGAGCTCAGGTTCAATCCAAACCGAGAAGGAACATGTCAGTGCCGTCCTAATCAGCCCGACCCCTTTGTGCATCTGCGGGGCGAGGAATACCTGGCTGCAGCTGATTGGGCAGGCATTGACAGCTTCCTTCCAGATTCAGACAATCTCAAGTACAGACCAATCCTGAGCTCATCCCTAATAGAGATGATAGTTCACAATGACCAATTATAAACCTCTATGTGCTTGTAAGAGGGGCAGTTTGCTTGCTTTTGTCTGACAGTACATTTTTTAATCACAAAACAGCACGTATTGTACTATTTTGCGATTAAATCAGCTTTTAGTAAAGGGCAAAAACTATCCGCATTCCCAGCCTGTACTGTGTTTTGTTATGGGTTCTATTGATTAAAAAAAAAACTTTGCATAGCTATTAACTAAAACTGCGTATCCATTCTGCATATGCTGGTTCTGTGTGAGTGGGGCAAAATGGAAAGTTCTTAAGGCTTTTTTCTCTTCTCGTCAAACGTACAGCCATAAATAGGGAACATTTTTTGGCCACTAGATGGAGATGAAAGTCATAGGGAATAAATACATGTTGGGAATAAGACATACAATGTAAGATATCTAGAGAGTGCTGGAAGGAAATTAGCAGATAAATGTAACTATTGCTACTACATGGGTCTCCATAGTGACAATGGTTACATTTATCTGCTAATTCCCTGCAGCATTCTCTAGAATTCTTACATTGAATCTCTTGTTACCAAGATGTATTTAATACAATGTATTCATTCTAGAGAATGTTGGAGGGAATTAGCAGACAAATGTAACCATTGCTACTATGGAAACCCCTGTAGTAGCAGTGGTTATATTTGAATAGCTAATTCCCTATAGCGTTCTCTAAAATTCTTGCATTATATCTCTTGTTACTAAGATATATTTATTTAGCTCCATTTAGTGAACACAATGCAGTATTTTCCGCTATTCACTAACACTCATAATATTTGAAGAACATTTGACCGGAAGAGAAAATAGCCTTAAATTGGAAGTTGAGTCATGGGATTAAAAAATTGGCTGAAAGGCAGACATTCTGTGACAGAAGAGACTGCGTAAATCTCTTCTGCCATAAAAACTTTCTATTGCATTTCAGCTATTTTTTTTTATGTACACTGAGAGGGTTATTCACAAAGCTGTCTAAGGCAGCCGAGTCAATAACCCACCCGAAGTGAAGTGAGCCGAACGCTATTCACTTCACTGCGGCTATTCACTTCAGGCTTGTACAGCTGATTTCAGCCGTACATCGGCTTGCTTCGGCTCAACATGTTCGACTGAGCCGAAGTGAAGAAGGAGTTCCAACATCTGGATCGGCTGAGCCAAACCTCCGGCAGGCTTCTCTCTGCCGTTCGGCCTATTCTCATAGGGGCCGAACGGCAGTGAGGCTCGGCTATTCTGTTCGGTACCTCCGTGGTACTGAGCAAAATAGAAAAATCAGTGAAAAAAGTTGAAAGAAAAAAAATGTTTACAAATGTAAATAAATGATCAATTTAAAAAAAATAAAGATTTTTTTTTTTAAAAAGGAAACAATTAAAATAAAGATTATTGAAAAAACATTTAAAAAAGAAAAACAATTGGGTGGAGCTAGCAGTGATAGAACACTGGGCTGTCATTAAATGACAGAAACTGGGCGGAGCCAGCCGTGACATCACGGCCGACACTGCCAAGTTGTCATTGTTTAATGACAGTTCAGCGTCCACAGGTAACCTGGGGACGCTGATCTGTCACTGCAACTGGGCGGAGCCAGCCGTGAGATCACAGCTGGCTCCGCCCAGCCGTCAGTTGCGAGGCTTTCGCCCCGCTTTGGTTTTCACTTCGGCACAGTCGAGCCGAAGCATATGCCTTCGGCTCAGCTGAGCTGTTCGGCCAGCGTCAGGAGCTGTACGGCCTATAGCCCCTACAGCAGCCCTTCGGTTCTACTGAACCAAAGGGCTCCGGCGGCCAAAGCTAGCCGAAGGATCAGCCGGGGCTAGGGATGATCCTTCGGCTTGCTTTGTGAATAACCCTCTGAGTCATGCATACACAGCTCAGTGCTCAGCAGAAAAAAGTAACTTCCATGTGCATTTGCGGGAGTTGTGTCTTCGGGGCCTGGCCAGTCAAGTGGCCAAAGAATCAGAACCCGGAAGAAGACAGGGATAAAGATGGAAGTGAGGGAGAAGCGCAGTGCTGGAAGGGGATGACTAGCAGATAAGTCTGCCCACTTTAGCAGATATGTCTGCCATAATGTACTGATATGCTGTATTTACTTCAGCTTTAAGAACATTTAAATGTTGCCCCATTCGCACAAAAGCTGGTTAATTTGCACAGAAGAGATGTACCTGCAGCTTTGCTGGATGAATAGCTTTGCAAATTTTTTTAATAAATAGGCTCCTTAGAGCCAAAGGGGTAGATCTTTCCCTTCACTCATATTTGTATTGTAAAATCTAGTCCTTCTTTCACATAAAGAGCATCTGCAGCACAGTAGCAAATGTAATGCTAGAAGGCAGCGGAAGGCAGACCCTGTGCTTCATTCATCCAGTAATAATGCTGTTGTTGTAGCTTGTAAGTGTCATTTTTAGAGGGGACCTGTCATTTTGAACCATTTTTTGTAACAAGAAATGAATTTTCCACTTCATAGGTACAGAATAACAGTTACACAGTTGTATCATGCAGCACAGCATCTTAGTGATACATTCGTAGAATACTAACACAATCCAGTTTGAATAGGCATAATATCCTTGTAACTAACAATACAGCATCAAGGATACAAGTACTGATCATATCACATCATGGTGGTTCACAGAAAATATACGGTATCAAACCAGAACAGGAATATTTAAAGATTTAGAGGGGTTGACCATATGGTAGAATGTTATTAAACAGTATTCGATCAATTTTGTGATAAACAGATGGATAGAATTAGGCAGGTCTCGTCTATTCATCATTTTAAACATTTTATTTTTAAAGTCCTGTTTAGGAGCAAGTAACAAGGTGCCAGCCATCTATTAGCCATAAAAGCTTCCTCGGTGCACCCCTCTGATGCTGGCTTCATTAGGTTAGTAAAGGCTGAATTTCCCCAACAAGAGGACTAATCCCTATCCTTAGAGCCAAGTCATACTAACTTACAATCCACCTGTCAAATGTCCGCACCCTTATGGGCCACTGTGGTGCTCTCGGACCGAGGTAACACGGGTGCGTTAGGCTAAGCCTCCATGTAAAAGATGAGCTCTTAGTAACAACTCACAGATGAGGTTCTGTGGTGTAAATAACACGTAGAGATTCCAGTAGACTATGCTGTTTGACTACACAGATTTTGTAGGTAGCAAAATGTTATTTGTGCCTAAGCAGTACCCTGAAAAATGTAGAGCTAACCATACACGGCTCATATTTCGGTTATTTCCTGCTGAATCAACCAAAAATCGAGCTGTGGGTGGCCCTGTCAGAAATACCTGGCTCAACAAAAGTTCATTTCAAAATCGAAGGAGCCGTGACTGCTTCCTATGCACCCTCACCCACCAATACATACATTCCCCACCCTCTCCCGCTGCTCTGTTCACCTAAACCCTGAAACCTCTGTGTTAGTGATTCTGTTGTGGGATATGTGTAGGGGCTGCCTTTGCTGGACCACGTTTGAAAATACCAGTTATCTAGCTCTCTGGCTTGAGTACTTTTGAGTCACAGACCTTGCTGTAAATGAGTATCAGGAAAGTCAGAATTCCTCTGTTTTTATTGCAGGTCATAGATTTAAAAAGCATTGAAGCCAAAGCATCAGCATGGCAGCCAGGGAGCTAGGGAGAGGTCAGCAATGGCAGCCCCCATAATGTTCTCACAGCAGAGTCACTTTTATGAACTGGCCCACATGACAGTGGTTGAACCAACTGGGAATTAGAGGAGGAGGCCACATACTGCCAGGTATTTCCAACAAACAGAGTGGCTGAAAAGTGCGAGTAAGGTTTGGTATTGGTGGGTAGGTGGGCTTTACAGAGGACCTGCCACCATGACATCCTCCTCTCCTGATGTTTTGACGTGACATCAGCACGGTTTGCTGTTTAGCTATATTAATTCACTGAATTAGTTTTCTTTCGACTTTGAATCACATAGTATTTGACATAGTATTTGAGGTTGAATAAAGACATTAGTCCATCAAGTCCTACCTATTTAACACATATCAAACTTTACCCTGAACCTTAATATGTGTACTGACCCCTCTTTCCTCTCTTCAGATACAGCACTCCACCTGGCATCTATGTTCCTGTTGAGTATAATGTTACTGACATACGATCTTCATTTGCTGTGGCTCCTCCCCCTAATTCAGACATCGGAGACCTGTATGATTTAAGCTACCCTTTGAGCCAGGCACTAGATGCAGCCCAAGAACTGAAAATAACCAGCAAACGAATGTGCCAATCTCTGACCACAGACCTCAGCATGCAGCGCAGTCTTCGAGGTTCCTGTCTTTTCTAGGAATCAGCAAAGCCCATTATAATTTAATTGCACAAAACCAAATAATGGCTGTGAATGAATATTGTAGCTGTATTTATTTCCTAATATTGTACATTTGTTTGCACTCATTGTTCTCCAGATAAACCAAACATGCAGTACATTATCTGTGACATCCCGTAGAAGACATGCCCACTCCCACAGGCCAGTTTTCATTGGCCATTTGCACTGGTAGAAAGAAATATACTGCATAGAAAAGGACAGGTGTCAAGACAAAGCTGGAGGGGGATAGGCATAGGACATCAGTTCAGGACATCAGGGCACAAACCCTTCCTCCATCTTAACATCAGCATTCCCTTTACCCATATCTGGTAATACTCTATATATTCAGGACCCTTCTACAGACAGCAGATTCCCTTTGGAGAAAAACCTATTATAAATAATGATTGCAATAATTGACCTGCTGAGGAAATCTAGGATTGAAATGCAACATTAAAGAGACCCGGTCAGCATTCAACATTCCCCTGCAGTAGAAGACAGCATATACTCACATCTCTGGTGGCCCATTTCTCCTACCTCAGTGCTGCAGCCATGGGACGCCACTTCGGCATTCCATACTTTCTGGAGTTTCAGCTACCCATGTCCACCACTGTTTTCTTCCTCTTGCCCCCGAACACTTAGCAGTAAGGTAGAGGTTAACCAGCGTGCAGCGGGGGGGGGGTCACAGACATCAGACGCTCCCAGAAGTTTGGAATGCTGAAGAAACAAGCCATTACAGAGTGGGTATGCGCTGTCTTCAGGAGTCTTAAAGAGAACCTTTTGTGCGGGAAGCTTAGAAGCCACTATTTCTGGCCTCGCTCTTCTTCTGGCTGGCATGACCATCATACTTCAATACTTTAAGCCCCCCCCCATATTTCTTTCATGAAAGGTTTGCTTTAAAATTCAGTAATTCTCAGCAACAGCCATTTTAAGTTTTAGTTAGGGTTGGGTTGGCTTTCAGTCAACAGAAAGAGGGTGTTGCAGGTTTGCTAGGGTGCTCTGGCAGGTGGGCATCCTTTCATGGTGCCATATGGAGGAGTCCCAAAAAATGGTTTCTTTGTTTTGAAAAATTGAATCCACTGATTCAATGATAGTGGCAGTGGCAACCACCTGACATTTTGTACATTGAGATGCTGCTTTTAGTACTTTGTGCCCTTTAAAGATCATATTGAAATACTGCATACCATTTTTATAACTCCATCTATTGTGGGGCTTATAGGGCTAATAAAATAACAGTGATGCTATTCTAATAGTAATGCTTTTCCCCTGATAATTATCATTAAGGAACAGATTCCCAGAAAAAGAAACCTCTCACCCACCAACCAATGGTGACTCCATTTTGATGTATAATGGTGGTTAAAATCCATTGGGTGGAACATTTTGCACTTGTAAAAAATGAATGATAATAGGAAGATGTATTACAGTCATTATAGCTAACATTGGTAAAATGTGACCAAAACTAAGAAGTGTAAGTTATACATTTGATGAGAATCAGAGATGTCCTTTGCACATGGCATCAAAATTTTTATATCTTTACAGTTCCATAAATTTGGCTCGTCGTTGTAGTCTTTGAAAGAGTAGTAGGAGGTTTTACATTTGCATGAGAAATAAAATCAGACCCTTCAGATGAAGAGTCAGGGACCTTAAAATACTTTGAGATTAGGGGAGATCAGCATCTGTCATGAGTGGTGTATTTCAAGCTTGAAGGTTGATAGAAAACGCTCCTTCAGGCTCATTTTATACAAAAAAACAACTATGCCGAGCTTTTTAGCCATAGCTTTTATAGAGATCCTGCCAAAGTGGATGTAAACCCAATCTAGAAAAAAAATTACATGTTAATATGTAAAAAGTTGTTTTCAAATCTGCAGCTTTCATTAAAATAATACCTGGTGATCCTGCCATGTTTAGGTACTTCCCCTTATAGGGTGACAATAGTTTTTCTCCTGCAATGTTAATTTGTCACATGTACCCCTGGTTTCCAAGAGTCCATGCTGACACACCTTGCAGAGGCATGGTATCCCATTGTCACTATCACGAAGCTGGCCCAGAGCAATCATGTGTAGCAGCCATTGGCATGAGTGCATGTAGACAGAATGTTGCTGAAACGTTTCTTCAGAACACAGCATCTCCATTTCCCACAATGTCTTGAGGAAAGTATGGATGCTGCCAACGTGGACCTTCTTCTCAAAAACCTAAAGGCTTGGCCATGTCTGTTTTCAATGTTTCTATTCACTGGCCTAGTCAGAACTTCTGATCTGCATACTTGTTCAAGGTCAATGAATCAGAAAGTCAATGGCCCAGCAACAAAGGCTGGTATTTTCAGAGGGAGCATCCCAGTTGTAGCCAGTGTATTTCCCTTATTAAAAGGTTTCCTCTATTATCAGCATCGCATAAATCCAGCTGTTGCCTATAATGTTATCTACATCTGCACAGGGAGGCCAGCCTTTCGCACAAATTGCACTCATGGGGCACCTTAGTAAAATGGGGGATGAGCAGCCATAGGTACTAGAAGCACTGGTCAGATCTTAAGTCAGTCTGAAAATAAGGAAATATATCAAAACAAGAAATTCAGACATGGAGCTTTCCTTATAACCTCTGCTTCCTCTCCATGAACATAATACCTCCGTCTTTGGTACTATACATTTTTTACGACAGTTTGGTACATTTTGGATATCTATTTCTTACTCTTCCCCAGGAGTAGGCACCCTCAGCACTCCATGTGTGGTGAAAAACAGCTGGTAGTGCCAAGGTTGCCTATCCCTGCTCCAGCCTATTTCTGCTCATGGTATTTCTTACTGAAGCACTGATCTTACTTGGATAACTAGAATGCTTTTGTATTTTTTGTATTTAGATTTTTGTAGCCACATCTTTGGTATGAAATTTCACATTTGGAATAATTTATGTATATTTATAAGTCTGAAAAACAGATCTTACAGGAGACTTGGAGAATGGAATTGTTTTCTATTGGCTGCTAGAGCAGTTCTGTTTTTAAAATGTTTAATAGCCCATTGGCCCATTCTGTGGTCCTGCTGCAAAATATACATTCCTAAATCTGGCCACACATTGTAGAATTTCTTTTGAATTTTAATTTAAAATTGTTTGTCAGAGCATTGGATCTCGCCATTATTGAGTCAACTCATTTAGTTTGAAAGCCCTGAAACATTTTGGCCAGACCAGCTACTTCGAAGGAATCCCAAACGGATTTCTTTCATAGTAGATGCGCATTATAATATACGATTTTTCCCGAGCTAACATATCATTCACTGTTAGGATTTTATTTGTTCAGATAAGAAACTAAAAAAAAAAGATTTCCATCTAGCGCCTTCAATTTTTAGTTTTACGTCCGAATCAAACATCATTTAGACCCCACTAACCATAAGATAATCAAATGTTCCAATAACAAAACAAGATTCTACTGGTGTGTGGTCAGCTTAAGATTGCGGTCAGTTTTTTGTTTGTCCAACAGCGAAACACAATTTAGTTTTGTTGCTTTACCGACTTTAATCACGTGACAAGTCTTACCCAATTGAAGGAAATGTCTGTCCGATCATATCTAATGTATTTATTGTGAAAATGCTGCAGTCGTTTTATTGTTCCGTTTAGATCATGTTTGTTTTTTGTAGCAATACAAATTATGTTTGTTGTTTTTTCCTTCCTATAAGAAAAAGTTACAATTTTTAAACTACCTGTGAAAGATTCAAGATGGCAGCTTTTACCAGAAACCATTTTGGTGCGTGTGTATGATGCTTGCTTGTTTTTGCAAAGGAACAAAAATGTAGAGATCTATTTTTGAATTTCTGTTTTCATATTAAATAATAAAAAAAAATTTGGGGTGTTTTGTTCTCATAAATTGCTGCTAAAAATAATCATTTTTAAGGTAAAGTGGAACAATAACCAGTGTACTGTAATAGCAACAAGTAAAAAAAGATGCTAACACTTAACCTTGCCCTGCCCGAATCTCCTAAACATCCCCTAAAATTTGTCAATAACAATTTTCCCACCTCCCCCACCATAAACACTTAAGCGGCTACTTATCCCTTTATACTTAAGCTGACCCTAACGCCTACAATGAGTTCTTAAACAGACCCTGTCACCAGAGCATTTATTTCAGCAACAATCTTTCCATAAGGTTATATGCGCATTTAACATATTTCATACATACCTGTAAAAGCCCCCTTGTCTAGACATCCAAAACTGCTGGGTGCCACCATCTTGGATATACTGTCAACAGCCCCAGCAGACTCAGAGCTGTCACTCAATGTATAATCTATAGTTTTCCCCTTCAATCCTTCCCCAGCAGCTACATAAATGGTTATGTAGGGAGGTGGGGGAAGAGGCGGAAGAGCTGGGCCAGCACAACGTGCAATTAGACACTCCCATAAGAGAAAAGGGCGAACGTGCAAGGATGGAAAGGGCTGTGCTAGGGAATTGACTGAAAATAATTAGAAAACTTTTGGTGCGGGCGTACGAACTGTGGGTGGGAGGTGCGTTTGGGGTACCATTCAAAGGAATGGCAATAGAACACACCTCCCACACCAGAACGCGCGGTAGGAGCCATTGTGTCGTACAGTGTATTAATTGCACAGGACTATGCGATTAACGCACTGTCCTAGTGTGAACGGGCCCTTAAAAACACTGGCATACAGACACAATCTCACACACTCAGGCATTCTCACACACATACACACCCAAAAATGTTTTAATGTTTCTTCTTTTTATTTTTTAAGGTCCACTCAGTCTCCCTACCTTATGAGAACTGAAGTAGATCCTCAGCTTGGGGTCCAGTGTGGGCTGCTGTGCTGTGACAGAGCTCCATCCATACGTGCATTGCTTGTACAACTCCGGTCCAGGCACCTCTACAGGACACGAGAGGGATGCACGCATGGATGGAGCTCCCTCAACGGCCATACCCCGATCTTATCCCACCTCAAGCTGACATTCGGCACCGGGCAGCATATTTTGCATGGCTGCTTGGCGTCCGAACTGACCGTGCTGCGCTAGGGTGAGGCAGAGGAGCTTCTCGCCTAGAAAAGTGGAAGGCATGCGGCGACTCACTGAACACGGGGTCGCGACCCATTTTTGGGTCACGGCCCATCAGTTGAGAACCAAGGATTTAAGGTAAGTCCTTACAGCAGAATTGGGAAGGGGGG